TGTTATCATGATATTAATATGACATTATTATTGCCGGCTCCGTGTGGGAATAAAGTGATATACATCAAGAAGGACTATAAAATTAGCTGGTGTTCCCTTGCACATTAATAATTTTGCATAGGGGTTGACTGGCCTATGTTAGAAGTGCAGTGACAGTAAACAATACCCTGATAAAAGAAAATGGCCTGGCTCGTATTGTGCAAATGGGAGGCATAGTGCGAATATTACTTCACTCTGGTTATTTTACATGCTAAAGGTAAAAGCATCTAAACGGACTTCTAATTCTGCTTAAAAAAAGACCCAATCCTGAAAGATGCTCTTCGAGAGATATATGTACAAGCCTGCTCCAAAATAAGCTGTGTCATGCTGGTGATCCTTCATAAGGCAGAAAAAGCTGTCCATGGCAGCTTACACACAGAGCTGCAACAGAAGCCTATCTAGACAATTCTGCTTCCAGTGTGGTGAGAAGGACCAGAGCCTATCAATTCTGACATTCACCTCATTCAGTTATGACCTTATGAACTGGTTGACTGCCAGTTTCATTTAGTTTCTGACATGAAATAGTCATTCAGCTCTTTTTCCTTTAAACACTAAAGTATGTGCAACACCATGCTGTGCAGAGATGTACAGTATAAATCATGCAGGCTCATTAGCAAAAAAATTTCAAAATTAATAATCCAAAACACTGTGATCGCTATAAATCAAAATGCTGTAAACTAAAGAAATGGTATAATATTTATTTTCAGCACAGCAATCTTGTTTTCAGATTCATATTTTACATTGAATAATAACTTTAGACAAACATTCCTGATGTACAGACATATTCTCCAACTTTACTGCCTCCAGACAAAAAAGTCACAAATTCCAAATGATGCTACATCATATGATTCCATTCTACTGAGTCCAAGAGCTAAGCTTTTGCACAGCTGACTCTCTGTTAGTTAGGATAGTCAACAGCTGAGACCAATCTAATTTGGTCCTCAAAATACAAACATAACATTGTGATCTTTGCCTTAAGGGTCTGTACCCAGTTCTTAACTGAATTTTAAATGTTCACATTTTAAATTATTAAAGAAAAGGTGTTTTTTTTCCTTGAGTGAATAAATCTATCCTTCAGCCAGTACTTACATCAATGCCGATTGAATTTCAGGCTTTCCATAGAGAATGGCCCAGTCCTTGCACTCAGAGGTGATGTCATGCATCAAATAGACGCGAAGGGAAAGCTTGGACATTCAATGAGCATTTAAAAAAATGATAATGTCTTCTGCAGGTTTCCGGCATTTTTTTTTGGCTTTTAGCCGCGGCAGTCTGGATTATCTCGGTGAGCACTGAGCAGGATGTACACAGGAGCAAAGTCGCCTCATCTTGGAGTTTGGTGTGAAGATCCCTTATTGATACATTGCTATTACTTATCAATGTATTGATTTGTTATCACTTACTTTCACTGCACTTTCTTATGAGAGCGCGCAGATATATTCAAATGTATGCCATTTTTTTCTTACTCAGGGTTTGGTTATTTAGACGTACAAATGACGATATGATACTTAAAACTGTGCAAGTGCAATAAAACAGACGCGATTTTATTTAATAAAAAAGCAAAGGGGGTGCGACATGAGTCCTTTAATAGCCGGCAAGTCAAAACAATGACTATGGAGTGAAATGTAGAATTTCACGTCATCACCTCTCCATGTCTAAACGTGTTAAAAACTGTCACCCAGCCGGGTTCACATCAAAGGTTAAGACGTTTTAACCCATATTTCTGCAGCACCGACGTAGCACCTGTCAAGGCCGACCCTTGTGAACACGATATGTTAAACTTCTGCGCTTAAAATAAAACGAATCACCCCGTATATTTCTATGAAGCAGAGACCTCACAACAACGCTATGACCAGACGCTCCTTCTAAATCGTATTAGGATCTTAACTGGCATGGGAATGAGACAAATATCGCTCGTTCACATGTTCGGTGTAGACCATTCACCAAAAGCAAACCAACATTTACTTTTAGCCTGGGCAAAACTTCACGTCCCACCTCGGGCAGTAACACTACCCAGGCTCCGCGCAATAGCCACCCGCAGCAAATATCCGCGCTACGCTAGCAAAACACTTGTTTACCGAGCTGTCAAAGCTATTTAGAGCTAGGCTCTCCCTGCCCTCTCCAAACCGTTACATGTGTCCAGTTAAACAGGCCGCCGACTGAATGGTCGTTTACCTTTGTATCTTTCCAGTACATCCTCGTATGCTTGCAGATAGTCCTTTTCGTCGGCGTACACATAGGCGACGGGACCAGAGAAGCCAGCCATGACCGGGGTGGAAACTGGACATATGCAAGAGGCTCTACCAAGGAGCCTGGAGTAGCAGCCGCAGACGGATGAAAGTGATCAGTAGTTGTCTGAAAGGAAACGCCCCTCGCCCCCTCCCAGGCCGATCAGCCTCCAATAGCCGACACTTCGCTCTCTGGTTTCATGAGAAAACTCTGCGCCGGGAGAGCGGCTCCAGAGAAGGACTGCTGGACATAATGAATGCCATCCCATATCGAGCGGCTGCTGCTGCAACGCTAATGCATTAACATGCCCTCCCTACACCCCTGCTCTCCATAGCTCTGCGGCTGCTCCCATATGCAACACGTTCCCGTTTAGTGAGTGCAAAGCGACGACATCAATTCCCTTAGCAGCTTGATCTGGGCGTTAGCCATCAAAAGCTTATTCATCCCTGCCCGTCAGAGCCAAGGTGCTGAAAAACGCACATTTCTGCCAATAACTGCGCCTTGTGCTTTCACATATCGGTGGTCAGGTCTCATCGGCATACCCTGCAGGTCTCTATTATCAGAACAAATATTATCATCCGGCGGCGTCCGAGCGTGATACACCGAGATTTACAGGCAGTCAAACAGATGCATGTCATGCAGGGTTTTTTTTATATTGTTATTTAAATATATTTACGCGTTCCACTAGACTTTGACAAAAGTCTGCGATGCAGAGTTGTTAACTAGAAATGATGTACCCAAAATATATAGTGTGCATTTGGTGACTTAAGTTGATAATATAAACACATTTTCCAATATTTTCATTTCCAGTCCTAGGGCCAGTCTGTGTCGTCAGCGCCGCCAGTTTGAGTTAAGTCACTCGGGTCCTAATGCTAGATGGGTACAGTTGTATGTCCAGAATGGATAAATAGTAACTTGTTTTGGAAATCGTTTCATTGGAACATTAACCGTGCAACAATTAAGAAACAAGCAAGGTCTGTTCCCAAAAAAAATAAGAAAACTGAAATTAAAATTATTCAAGTCTTGTAAACCTTCACACAAGTAAAATTAATGTGAATTAATTGCATAATATTATGCAAATCTCGTTCATCACTGCTATTACTATGCATTATATTAAGGTGGATTAAAAGCGTACATTCCCTATATAGCCCAGAAATAAACTGCAATGGTATGTCTGCATTTGGAAGTTTTGGAATCGGAAAGGCCTACACCCAAAATGCTTCTCAAGAGCTGTTAAGACAAATTCAAATACAATTAAATAATTTAAAGGTTTAAACATACTTCGTATAGGAGTAGACTTGACACTTTGCAACATCAGGAACTGAGGGAAATGCGGGGGGGGGGTTAGGCGCTCTGGGGAGGTACCGGCAGCACTTATCTATCGGAGGCAGCAGACAAATCTCCGCCGGTCGCTCCTACTATCTGTGCATATTCCTGACTCACGGTCTACCAGTTCAAGATCGTTTTTTTCCAGCAGCAAGCTCGTAGCTCCTCAAGTTTTCCCTTTTCTCACACCATTTCAAGGTCATTTGGCATGAGGAAAGTTGCAAGACTGGTTCTGGATATCGGTGTCAAATGTATAACTCTTACTAGATCAGAAGGCTTAGGGTATCAGTTACCTGCTGTAAATATTGACCACAGATTTCAGTATGCTTATTCTGTACGTCTGCTAAAGGATAATTCTGTCATTTTTGTAACTGTCATTTTGTCAGAGGTGCTGTAGTAGTCATTCCCTTATCTCCATCATGGTATTTTAATGCATACATCAAACCATGTTTACAAATCAAATGTATCCGAGCATAAGACGCGCTGATGACGTGTTGCAAAGACTCTACATTACGTCATTTATTACAAGCTGTTTGGCTTCACAAAATACAACCTCTATCTCAACACTTTAACTTAACCTTTCAACCCAAGATTGCGTGCTCTTACAAAACAAAATGTCTGCGTCAAAACCCGTCATGTTCCTATCTTCAAAGGTTATAGATGTGTTCACAAAAACACAGCTTTTGTCATAAGCAGCGGTATCTTTTTTTCTGTTAGTCAATACATTTCAGTTGACAAACTATAGTTCCCTCCTGCAAGATTATTAAACACTCATTAATCTTCAGTAGTGTTGGCAGAAATGGTGTAGTAAATTAACTGATTGTTGACACGCTCCAACACTTAGTGTGCTACACAGGGATATTAGATTACCCGTACCTTAAAAGGGTGAAATCACTGTAACACTATCCACAGGGCAGAGACGCCAAAGCACTGTAGCATTGTTCGGGCCCTATACATTGTCTTTTCCTAGCATCGCAATCGGTAATCATACACGCACAACTAACAGAATGTGTACTTTTCCACCATCGCTTGCAGTTTTTAACAATGTCACACATTTTGAACAGCAAAAACCAGCAGGAAACCATAAACCGCGGCCGTCCCTATCTGGTACGCCTGAATGAACTCCAAATCACGGATATAGTCATGTTTAATCAAGCACATGTCCATTATTCACAACGCGCCGCTTATGCATTTACCTCCAACTTCAACTTGAAAAATACCTTTCGTCTTCATATACATCTTTATACAACGCAGGATGCACTGTAGGCGCAATGCTAGTCTCGCAGTAATGCTGTCATTTTTAATATCTTTCAAGCGAAACGAGAGATTGTGAAAGACATGCCACATGCGACAGAAAATTAAAATGCAGAAAAGTGCACAATATGAACAGGTACGGGGACGGGGCTCACCAGCTATCCTGAGGACGGCTCTTTCTGCCGGGTCCAGAACGGACCCTCCGTGGATCTTCCTCTTGCATCGCTCGTGTTTAGGGAGGTTCCACGGTAGCGTGTCCCCGGGCGCAGGGGAAACCGACCCCGACTTCAGACTGTAATCGTCCTCATCCGAAAAATCCACAGATGAAGACATGGAACAGCGATGAGAAGCGTTCCCGGACCCAGAGCTCTGTGGAGACAATAGCGAAGATCAGAGGCTCGGCGCTGTTCTCGCTGCCCACCCTCTATTAAAACAACACGACAGGAGCCGGGCGACAGGGCTCGCACAAAGAACACGCTGGGGAAAAAACGCTCTCACCATCTCGGCTCGCACGGCGCACAGAAGCTGGAAAATGCATGTACATTGAGACAAGGCGGAAGCAGTGGCCTGTGGTCAGACAGCGGCTCGCAATAACCTCCTGACTGATTCACAATAAAAAGCAAAACCTATGATCCAGAGATTTGAAAATGATTGTATTTGGCTCCCCCGCCCGGGCAAGAATCAGACTTACCGTCGTATACATGATCTCCGCTGATGAAAATTGTAATCCCTTTATTTGGAAAAAAAAAATAGCGCTTCGGATAAAGATACTAAAATAACATGTTAGCCACAAAACCACACCCTTACGACGGTGCCGTGCCCTGCTCCTGATTTTTCCTGTTTGGTCGCAAAGCCTCGGATGATGTCAAACCCCCAGAGAGAGTCCGCACGTTGGCCGGGGTAGAGTTGCTTGGTCTGAGGTTGTCAGCGCGACATCACACCAGGACACAGAAACAAAAAGGATGCTGCAATATTTTCGGTTCTCATTCTTTAATCCAATAGGAGTGTCTATACGGTATCTAGATACACGCCGTGTTTTAGAACGAGGTCGTTTTAAGGTGTTGTCCTTTCGAGCCCATTTCTGAAGACTGCGTGTATTTTGCATAACTCGTCATCGGCATTGAGATTCGCGGAGTGTTCCTGCTCCGGTCCCTATTGTCTTTCATTAATTACGACTGCAGGCAGTCGTTACTGTGCTTTGTCATGGCGACACAGCACCGACAGCAAGGGAAAATTGTAACGAGAAGTCATATGATGAGAGAGAAACGTGCCTTTAAAACCAGATGATTTTATTTTAAACCATGGCGATGTGATCGGTTTCATTATGCTGGTTAGAATTCTGATAGTGCCGGTATGTAAAAAAACGTTATATAGGGAAAATATGTTCTCCAAAAAAGATGTTTATTAACATTGAAAAAAATCCGTCGTTAATGACCTGATAGGGTCTGCGCTTGGTCTTAAATCCATTATCATTTAGTGTTTCATTTAGAAAAATATAGTATTACAACGTCTAATTATATATTTATGTTTTTGACAACAGTTCTCCAAAACTCCTATTTAACATGGCAAGCAAATATTATCATGAATACGACAAAAATTCATATTCATATTTTCCAGAGAAGAATGATCTAAAAAAACAGGAATTATCTTTCAGTGCAGAGCAAAGATATGCTATCCCAAATCCCCTCTCAGCTGTAATCTTTCTTATATGCTTAAATCTGTTTATTTGTATTTATAGATCTGTCTGCATATATCTGTATACTTGTCACAGAGATGAATTAGTTCTAATCAAACTCAAGCGGAATTCAGACAGGAGCTGAAGTATATTTTATTTGAAACAGTAATAGGTGAAGAAAGATTGGACTACAGAAGACTATTGTAGTTGTGATTCAGCACTGGTATGGATAGTACCCTAACTGCAAAATAACAGTGGATCAGATTCTAGCAGAGCATTCAAGAAACATCCTAGGAAAACCCAGGAAACAAAAATCTACTGACAAAGTGTTAGCTAAAATAAAACAGTGACACAATCACCGATGATCAGAGTCAATTCCTTTACGCACAATTACTCAACCTAGTAACATCAATGATCTCACCTCTTGGTAATCATGTGATGTATATCCTTCTAGGAAGTTTCCAGAATATAATTATTAGCCTTCCAGGACTGCTGCCAGAGTTGAGAATACAGACGCAGCGTCCTGAGAAACACCAAACTCATTCAGATCCATCACCTTTGACAGCACCACTGCCGGCTGATTCTCAGTCATCATAGGCAACATTTCTGTGGGCTCTCTGGAGGGATTGCTGAGGTTGTTGTCTGTGTAGGGTGATAACCCACAATGACCTCTCACAGATTTCATCAAATACATCTAATGCTTTTGATTACACACAATGACTATAGAGTGTATTAGCCACGTCTGTGTTGCAGATGAGTGAAAAAAAAAGAATTTCTGATTAAATGCAGTATATCTACTGTATAGCATACTGACATTCTTCAAATGCACTTCCCAATAGTCATGCAGTATTTGCCAAAGTTAACCTTATACGTAAAATTTCTAAATCATGCCTTTCACTGTGTATAGTAATAGTTTGATTTGGATTGAATTTTTATTTTATTTTATTTAATGCATGGTATGGTATAGTGTGGTATAGTATGGTAGATATCAGTCTGCGGAAACATGACGTATCTAAATAAATGACCCAGTTTTTTGCAGTCCTTGAGCTCACCGGAGAAATGTGAGAAGGGGTTAATGCTCTCCAGCGATGGCCTTTGCTTGATGCAAAGAAGCAGCGTACTTGTAGGTTGTGTGAGATCACCAACCCTGCCCTCCAGGAATTCAGCACATACAAGGGAGTACCAGGAAAATGGTATGCCTGGCTGCATTTGCAGGGATAGCTTATACTGTAGGTATGCATCATACCAAACAGAAAAAAAAATCATTGAACCATCCACAAAATGCAAAAGAAATGTGTTGGCCCGTCTGGCACTGGACAGTCAGCATTAGTGATCTGGCAACAAACTGAAATGAACAGAATTCTCGTGTAGGTTCATGTATCGGAAATCTTTCCAAAGAACAGACAAAGACAAAGCACCACAGCTATGCCACACCTTGATTAATCATCAGACACCAGCACATGTTGCACTTCCCTGAGCGACTTCTGCAGTAGGTACTGAAAACACCCCAGCAAGGCCACTTCCAGCACACCCTTACTCAGACTGTGTGCAATAGGTATGGCGCATTTCTAATCTCTGTCCAGTAAAAAGTGTTAGCACATTATTCTCTAGAATAAAGAACAATACTGCATGTGTGTAGCATTCACAGAATTAATCTCTCTCACATCTTCCTGTGCTACAGATGAAAAGAGAATAAAGAGGTGCCTTTTCAAAGCTTGGGTGTCTATTTACCAGCTTTTACTAAGTTGTCTACCATGGCTATATCTGAAGACTCTGATACTGTATAGGCATCTAATTTGTCATGAATGACCACAAAAAGAATTAGGGGTATTCTGTGCAACAGTGTGCAAGCTTTTATCACTCATGCAGAACGATAACAATGTGTCAATTTCGCTTCATTCATTCTGCATCACATGAAGACATTGAATGGGAGCTCCCCATCCATTTAGAAGCCCTGAATTCACAATAACTAAAGTAACACGTGACTTTAGGAATGATCAAGGCCTTTTGCAAAGAAAATAAACATCAGTGGAAAGGTTTCTAATGTGCTGGGAAATAACAAACCCCAAGGTCATATGCAAAGCAAGGCAGGATCACTACCATCTACATGCAGAGAAAGATGCCTTTGATGTTAAAGAAAACAATGTGCACATCTAGGTTAAAAGGGACAACATGGGAATGTGCATTTTGCTTCTTTCTCTTTTTATGAGAAAAAATAAAGCAGAGCAAATGGAAATAAGAAAACAAGCACTGAAAGAAGAGTTGTATATTAGTTGCTTTAGCAACATTTGCCAGCAACTTGACACTTTCTTCATTGGAAATATTGCAATTGAATTCTTGTTTATTCTGTGCAGAAAGCATTGCCATAGAAGCCAGAAACATCTGTGTTATTTTTAATTGTAATTTGTCTTTTGAGGCTTATTCTTTCATTCATGGGACACTGCTCACTTAAGATTTTACTTGACATATCAGATATCATATTGTCTATATCAGATCCAGAAAAGGTCATTCTTGCTTAAAGACCTACATTCATCCATTATCAGAATGCTGCTTATTCCTGATGCAGTCTGCAGCAACCTGGAGCCTATCCCAGATGTTTTGGGCAAAAGACAGGACAACTACCTCCTTGTGAGAAGGTAGTGAGAACATGCAAACTCCCCTCAGCAGGATCCCTCAGTCTGGAACCAGGTTGAACTTCCAAGAGCTGTGAGGCAGAAGCACTAACTGCCACAACACTGCGTCGTCTGCAACTGTCCAGGATCTGGCTTCTTGTAAACATGTACACCCTGTCATGCCATTCTTACAAGGGCTACCTAATAAAAACAGGTTTGATTTCAAAATGCTTTTGAAAACACAGGATTCTCTGAATAGATTGAGACCATTAGATCTGGATTTACTCTATCCCTGTGCTCTTACTCAATACCCCAGACCCATGGATAAATATCCTAGGCCATGGACATGACTAGGTTATGATTAGGGCATGGACGACTGGGCCTTTCAGTATTACCCACGTATCAGCAACTCCTTAGCCAGACATATCAGAGTCACAGCCAGTCCGCTGCCAGATGTTTATATCTCTGCTAAAAACCCATCGGTTTACTTTGGCCTTTAACTTCTTCTTCACATTACTGTTGTCTTATTATCTGTGCTATAAATGTATTTTGCTTTAGTGCTGCTCCACCTGATGTGAATGAAAGCTGCATTCATAAATTAATACAATTGGTTATTTTTATTATTATAATTAAATCTCTCGATAACCTTCACGAATTGGTCTTTTCAAAAGATTTTCTGAATAAAATGTATATATGATTTTGTTATCGAACAGAGTGATAAAAGACTTTATTTAAATAATTATTTATTATTTAAATAATGTAACGTACACAACTCAAAGGATGACAGGGAAAAAGATATAAGAGCAGGAGGTCTGGGCCTTTCGGAAACGAAACTTTAGAAGCTGTCAACTGAGATTCTCTTCCCAGTCAGACTGCCTTTCTCCCAGAGTGCTACATTGAGCCACCGAAACAGGAGGCTGATAATTCCTTCCTTAACATTACAAATAAAATGACATGTGCGAGTTAGTACTTGTCTTGATAGTACTAATAAAATTACCAAATGCAACTGCTTGGCAAATAAATGTCAATAAATGTCAAGTAGCAGAGCAGTCAATGAGAGCATTTTCATTTTTTAATTAAAAATATATTTTTTTACCCACTCCATTTTGACATGGGAGAAGAATCACATTGAAAATTTAGAGGGCATAAGAAATCAGTTTAAGTAAGAAAAATAAAAATGGTTTTATTGAAAATAATTGATCAGGAGGATGTTTTGAAGAATACCACAGACTGGATCTTATTTCTTCTATTACAAATGCTTCTGTAAACATGAACTGAGTACTAAGAGGGGTCTAAACACCTCCCAAATGGATGTGACATGCACCAACTACCAACACACCGAAAGTGCTGACTTGCCAAGCAAGGCCGAGGTTTCATGCTTTAACGAGCATCCATCATACCACTTTTCCACAGGCTTTGAAAATTATACCAGGCTGCTTTGTTAGGTCTGCACTATCTACCCAGAACACGACTTTCTAAGGCATCTCAATGATTTGAAAATGTATTCAAATGAGGTTTATAGGAAAGTCATTGCAGATTTTTGGCATCATATTGTGTCAAGCTGGGCTTCACAGAGACAGACACCAGAGCATGGTGGCTAATTGCACTGATAGATTCATCCATATCGTCATCTGTTCTAGAACTTTGTGAATGCCAGTACCACAATTGTCAACATACCAATTAATTTAGAGGCGGTAGCTATGACTGCAAGCACAGAATGTACTTAATATAATAGAAAACTAAATCACATGAAAGCAGTTGTATGTGCTATTCACATCGTTTTAGCAGAAATTAGCATGCCTGACATGTGTGGGCACACCCTCTATAAGCGTGAGAATATGGATTACATCGTGGGAGGATGATCAGCAAGCATTTTCCTTCAAAGGTTAATTCTTCTATACAACTGGGAGAGAATCTGTTGAGCTCTTTTCAAGGTAACTGCAGTAAGTGGAACATGTGTGCAAATTTCATTGGTCCCAGATAGACAGAGGACTGAAAAGCTTGCAGTTTGAAATCTCTTACTGCATGTAACTAAAGGACTCAGCAAGGAATCCTACTGTATATTTAACATGTTAAATTAGAAAGCACAAATCAAAGCCTGTGTAGAATTTTATGTGCTCCTTACCATCAACCTGTCACAAACTACCATTTAAAAAGCCTTACAAATACATTTGGCTGATGCAGAAAAGAGTAAACCAAGAAAGCTGACATTGTTTTTCATCGGGGTCTAACTATATATCTATGATGTTTGAATGGAAGAGCCTCTTCCTGTATAAACATATGCACAACCAATGTCATGCAATTTGATAAATATTAGAAAATTAAACACATTTCACCTACTTATTTGAAGGATTCTTCATATTGAAGAATTCTATGGAAATTAAATGTTTCTTTCTTGTCTCTTGGAAAACTGTTATCTTGTCTAATTAAAGGTAATTTTAAACAGTCTTTTTGGCTCTCTCTCTCTCTATTTACTGTACCTACACATAACAGTACAAATTGAGTGGTGCTGTACTGTTTAGATTTATTTGCTTTGATCAATGATTTTTGGTCATCGGATCAATTTGATCATGCGTGTTACTTTATAGATGGGGTTTGTTACCCTTGGCATCCTGACACACCATTGCAGAACTTGCAACCTCCCAATAGGTTAAGTAATGAATTAACCTTTAATTACTTAATTAGCCCCCTGATAAAGGATTAGCTGGAGCAAAGACTTGCAATGGCATGGAGTCAAGGTGCCAAGGCTACTTAATGCTTAGTCTAATCTAGGGGACAACACTCCCGTACTGGAGGGCCAGAAGGTTCCTGGTTCTGCTTCCACCTGAGCCGTAGCTGAAGGCTTTCCTTGTTCTTGGGAAGCTGGAGATCTACAGGGACCTCTGAATCCCTGAGGCCTGCAGTTGTGTCCCCTACTCGATCCCTCTTTCCCGATTCATGACACCGAAATGATGCCCATAAAAGACGTTAACGTTCTACATTACTCGCGCCTTCGTTTCATTTAACACAGTACCGTTCCTAAATGAATTGCAGTATGAGTTCTAGGCCTCTGTACACTTGCACGCTTGCACAACAAACAGAAAACAGTAAAGGGTTTACAACGAACAACAACAACAACAATAAACATGAATACCTACGGGTTTCCGTGTAGGAGTAACTTGAACAGAATGATAAAATTCGGGCTGAACTCTCTTCTTGGGTTTTCGTTTCCGGGCTGAAGACTCTTGCTCGCTTTCGGGAATCTCCACTAGCGACTTGCTCTCCTCTTGGACTCGGGCTCTGGCGCTCCGTCTCGCATGGCGGGGACTCTGCCTGTAACCCTGCCGGAGCACGGAGCACAGGTGAAGACCAGCGTTTCACAACGGCACCGTGGCGCACTCCCACGGCTCCATACTCTGGGTATAAACAGGAATATAACTGCAGGACCTCCTTGCTACTAAGTAAAAACATCTTTTCAGAGTCAGACACCCTGCAGAGAAATTAGCAATGCTTTGAAGCGCCTTGTTACATTTTGGCAGTTTAAAACAAAATATAACTTTTTAGTTACTAGATTACTCATCAAACATGCGACATACAAGTTTCCTCTTTAAAAGTAGGAAATACATTTGGAGGGTCTACACTGTTGGCTATTAATACACAGATGATAATACACCTCTGCTCATCACGCTTATTCTCCTACCGTCCCAGAACAGAATGCATTAAGTTACCATGACCTTGAGCAACTAGAAAACAATGACTTTACCTCGGATCGGAAATGATGCGACCGGAGACCAGCTTCTAGGAGAAAGGACACATGTTCTAATATTTCCTGAACACAATCTTACACAGACAAACATATTAATTGACGTTCATTGAATGTGACCATGACGCGTTTTGAAGACTTGTTTTATAAACAGCTGGATGTAGACTTGTAAACTTAAAACTTATGTGTCAGTTAGTATAACAATTAATATAAATAATGTATCAGAAAGTCGTTTAGAAAGTCAGGGAGTCTTTCGGGATAGGAGGAGACGTGCCTGCCGCAGTCCAGCAGAAATGTTCAATCTCTCTTCAAACATGACGAAAGGATGATTACAAATAGCAAGAAGAAGCAGAACATTTCTACATCGGTGTACATCCAATATGTTGATGAAAACAAATATATTTTATGATGTATTTGTAACGCTGCATTATAGCAACACGGTAAATTCAGATGTAGAAATACTCACCGCGACTCCTTGAACGTCCTGAAAAAACAGATTTCATAGGATGTTTCCCATTACGAAGCTTGCGATGCCAGCAACAAAAAAACAAAATCGTAGCGATAGTTCCCAACAAGAGCAGCAATAAGAGCAGGACACATTGAATACTGTAAGGTCTCAGTAAAACCAGAAACGCTGCTGCAATCATAATAAGAGGAGATGTAGGGCAGGCGGTGCTGCCTCAGAGCCTCGGTTTCTGCTTTGATTTGAATCTAGAAATGCATGTTCATGCCAACCCGGGGACTCGCAGTGGATCTAAAGCACACTGAGCCCCCAGACCTGCAGACCAGCTTTGAGGTGTATTGATCTAAATAATGTAAGTCAACAGTCCATGACTCAGCAGTCGAGAACAGCCAGCATCTTTTTTACAGCATATGCGGGACCAAGCGCGGAGCATCTGCATCTGAGCTCAGCAGAGCTGCAGCAGAGGAAAAGCAGGGATTTAAAGGTGTCAAGCCCAGACGTAACGCATTCGCGATACCTCACTCTTGGTGCAACACCAAAACCTCATGAAAACGTAAATTCCAGATGTTTACGGCTATTAGACAGCAGGATGTATCATACATTCATTATCATAAGCTGTGCATAATTTCTCCCTGTAATGCTGGAATCTGAACTGCAAGGGATTATAGCATATATAGGTCATGTTTAGTACAGTACAAGCTTTTTAAGGTAATAAAGACGAAATACTGGACATGTATTTTAAACATCCCAAACCTCTACTTCCAGCTTATGTTAGGAGACTTCATATTTAAGGACATAAACTTGACAGATATATTATTGCTTGAGATTTCACGGTTTTTAATAACATTTTCGTTTTTACATGATTGTTGCTGCGTTCTTAAAGAACCTCGGTTGTGGTGCAATGACAAACCAGAGACGAGCATTGCGTTATCAAGTTGCAGTCTGGGAGGAGCTGGTGTGAGCTGAGGAGAGCAAGTTTGGAGCGATACCTCTTGGGAAAATGTACTGTATCAGCACGAATGCGCCTCGCCGGGGCAGATAAACGGGCTCATGTTCCCAACGTTACTCGTTTCCCATCTCAGTGGCCATCGCGAAGAAACTATAATAAAGCATCAAGAGTCTGAATTATAATTTCTTTACTGTTTGCTTCAACCATGAAAAGACTCGCATTCGATCCATCAAGAGCATTTGGTTTTTCACTACAGTTGTTAAACAAACGGCCTCACCCAAACCTTGCTTAAACCAGGGTATCGGCTTCAACAACACGGCTGGGCAGCTTGTTCCATACTCTTACATCCCTTCGTGTACAGCTCCCCGTTCTCGGTTTCAGATGCATTTTCGGGTTGTTTCCGCTCGTGTCCTCTGGTTCGTGTTTCACTGCCGATTCTGGAGAAATCAGTGGCATTGACATCGTCGCTGCTTGAATAAATAGAATTCGTGATGAGATACGCAGTGCAGAATGGTGGTGCAGTGGTTACTCACAGCAGTGGACCCGGAGTGCTGTCTGCGTGAGGTTTGTATGTTCTCCATGCGCTCATGTGCGCGTCCTCCAGGTGCTCCGATTTTCCCCCACAGTCCCCCACAGGTAAGTTAATTGGCTCCAGGGACTAATGGCCTATGGGCTAATGGGTCTCTGCGTTTCTGTCTGTGTGTGTCCTGTGACAGACTGGCGTCCAGTCCAGGGTGTATCCTGCCTTGCGCCTGTTGCTTGCTGGGATTGGCTCCCCATGACCCAGAGCTGGAAGACAGCAGCCCAGGTCTGGAATTGAACCCAATTGCTAACCTCTGCACCACTGCACCACCACTTAAACAGTATAGGAAGGGTTAAACAAGAGGACTCCAATCAGCTCACAGATGGCATTGGACTGTTACAGCTTAAAGAGCCAAGAATCCCATCGTGTTTGAAATAATTCAATGAAAATACTTCTGGCAATGTATTTTCTCTCCCTGTTAATGACATTCTCATTTATTTGTTTAAGAGATTAATTTATAAAATACATGTAAAATCATATTGTGGGGAATTGGGTGAGCATTCCTTAAACGCTGAGTATAGTTTAGTGCATACATTTTTTAATTTTAAATTCCAACGTGTTTTAAGAATTGAATCAATATGTGGGTTTAAATTGGACTTACAAGAATTGAGTCTCAAGAGCCAACCTGTAGAAGGACCCTATGAGCATAAAGGGTACATGTGAACATGAAAAATGTACTTCAGAAAATTCTACAGATGCTGTTTGTATTAGGCATAAATATTATGTTCATCACTTGCTCGACTCCAGATTATTCGGCCTTGCTGTGTAATGAGGGTCTGTCACATAAACCAACTCAGTTGCATGGGCTTCGAGCAAAATGGTTTTAGCCTTAAATATTCACTTACTATGTTATCTGTGCACCGCTGTTTAGAGGAACAGCATTTATTTTAATTTTAACACTACTCATATTGTTGCATTTGCCTTTAGCTTGATCTATCAGTAAGTCTTTAAAGGGCCACAGATGTTTACGGGACTACCACAGCAGTTACCTGGACTGGCCCGGTATATTGTTTAACAAAATAACGTGTAAATAGATTTATTTAAAGAGTTGAATCTGTTACAGTTTGAAACAGCGTCTCTTTCTATATAACACGTGATCTATGGGGTGTATAAAAATGAAACATTTTTTCTAACTTTTTCTGAATATCTTAAAGGAAAAATTGTAATTTTTTTTAGTTCTTCATGTCACTACAAAAGCTTTATATTAAAATAACTGATAATTTCGGGTTACATTACTATTTCAAGTTTAGAAATCAGTTTGATTCTTTACTCCGAATATTTGGAAACCATTTTTTGATATATATATAACTACGTTGAGAAAGAAATACATGTTTATTCCATGCGGAAACGAAAAGAGACGCAACGTTTCGTCTGTGCAGCTTTGTTCAGCTGTGAACTTCATCACTATGTTCATAGTGCAGCACATACTATTTCCCTACGTGCTCGGAAGGTCAGGGTTCATTTTCATCATTTCTTTAAAGACAGATTTCTTTCTTTTCAGAGCGCTCCGAAACAGGGGGCGGCAGCCTTTACTCTGAGGGGCCAGAGTGCCGAGACAGCGGCAGCACGGAGACCGCCGGACAAGGTCTGTTCCAGTCCGAGTGACCCTTGACCAAGACCCCTCTCGCCGGGAGAGAGGGGCCCGTAAACACCGGGTTGTTCGCGCATCCGCGTCACCAGCCGCGACCCGGTACCAGAACCCGGCGGCCATCTTGTTCCTGGCGTGTGTGTGTGTATGTGTGTGTGTGCGGGCTCGGTGGAGCAGCGGGCCGGAGAGCTGGGGTGGTGCTGCCGGGAGACTGCGTCTGTCTCCGGCCTGTTCGTGTGCGCGGAAAACACCGACCCAGGGTAACGGCCTGTGCACGAATCTTGAGTTTTTTTTTTAAATAATTTGTGCACACAATCCACATTTCTCCAGCGGCGGGGAGTGAGTATTAGCCGTATCTCTGAAAGCAACAAGACCTGGGAAAATGTTCAAAAACCCGAGATGAACAGCGTTTGTTTTTACCAAATGGCAAGTAAATAAGGGCGACTGCATGTGCGCGATCACATCAGTGACTTAGGAAAACAGTGCATGCACATAGCATCTTCGCGTGTGTGCGTCATTTGAAATGGGAAATCAGTTCATCCCAGTTTACGCAATCGAAGTTACTCCCAGGAAGTTACAAATCTGGTTTCTAGAAAGTTTGTTGATATGCCGCAGACTTCGTTTTTTCAAGTGATTTTAGAAAGGCGATTTTTTTTCAAGAAAATCTGGCTCTCCCTGTGTAATTTTGTTTCCAAATGAATGTATAAAAACATCTAAAAACATCGTTGACCATCTGTAGAGCTTCAAAGGACAGCATACAGTATTCACCTTTTATTGATTTGAGCTGACATGGCTTTATAAAGTGGCCGTACTGAGCTGCGCCGTGTCTTCACAGGTAAACCTGTGTCTATGATGTCAGGGACGCCAGCGAATGAAGATGAGACCACCGATGAGGTGCAGTTTGTGTCGGTAAGTATTTTGTCAGATAAGTACAGATGAAGACAGAAAAACTAAAACGCTTTTCCGTAAACATTATCTTAATCCTGCTCATATGATCTACCGTTTCTTCACTACAGCCTCTTAACTAAATGTATCTAATATTTGCACTTTTCTATTTTGGTCCGTGCATTGTGATGCTGAATTATTGCTCCTCCAGGCCTGTATTACAGTGTCCGAAATACTGGAATCCACATGTGTCCGCTCCTGCTTGGTACATTGTTTATGATACTTGGTTTGTGATTTTGTTTGTGTTTGCTGTAGTTTGTTTTAGTTAATCTTATTATTGTATCGGTCTTATATCACTGCAGTCTCTCATGGATAAGGGGTCTGCTGAGATAAACTGCTCATCTTACAAATGTTGCTTTTATAGCCTTGGTAAGGTATTTTTATTCGTGACATCAGTTCTGGCCAAGAAAAAAGGATACAGCATTTGAGATTAGGCCTTAAGGGAATGTTGCAAATGTCCTCAATTCTCGAAGGGATTGAGAGAGCATATTTCTTCAGAATGAACTGTGAACGAACCAGAGGGCACAAGTTGAACCTACATGGAAGTGTGTTTAAAATCAAGAGCAAGCAGCACTTCTTTACCCAAAGGGTTGTGGGAGTGTGGAACAAGATACCCAGCCATGTTGCTGAAGTTGATACCAAAGCCTTTTCTCGAGGCACAGCTGGAAAAGATCTAGTAATTTAGCCCATAAGTACCTAATGGGCTGAAGAGAAATCTGAGTTAGAGAGCAGTCTTTCTCATGTTCTGAGTGCTTGTGTACCCTGGTCTGGTCTTGTCAACAGGAGGGCCCTCTCAGGCCGGTGCTGGAGTACATAGACTTGCTGAGTGACGATGAAGATGGTGGAAGCTCAGCTACTCCCGTCAAAGTAAGTCGCTCCAGCTGGTGTCAAAGAAATCCTTCAGTGCCTCCTGTCCATCTGCTTTTTACTGCTTGAATCCGTGGCACATGTTTGTGTCCAGGCTGACCTGGAGCAGGGAGATTGTGTGAGCTCTCGGGAGTATCCTACTGGAGAGAGTGGTCTGAAGCGGGGGTCACTTTCCTGCTCCTCCTCTGTCTTATGTGCAGTTGCAGAAAGACGAGCTGATTGACAGTGGGGAAGAGGGCTTCCATTTTTTCCTCGGATTTGTCTTTTCCTTGCCTCTCCCAGTCATGACTTCGTAGAAACGGATGAAACTGCTTCCTCTGAGCTGCCCTGTGGGTGTGTCAGGTCTGCCCCCCCCTCCACTCCACTCCACTCCAGTCCCCTTTCCTTTGGCAGTTAAACCCCTGTCTGTGGGCCTGAGCACATCTGCAGTGATATAGGGGATTATAGCAAGACGTTTCCTTACAGACAGCCAGTCTAGTCTGTTCATGTGCATTCAGTATCCAGTGAGTAAGGGTGTTAACCCCAGAGTCCTCCTTAAATTCTACTGATGGCCTGTACAATACGTTTTTCCTCAAAATGGTAATGTCCCACAGTGGCTTTTCAAGCCAGACCTCATCTTGAGCATTTGACTCTCACCGCTGACCTTCCTAAAGTGGAACAATGTCGGTATTAAGGATAAAAAGGAAAAAAAGTATAATATAAAAGATGGATGAATGCATTTTGTTACGACACGTTTCTGCTTGTGTTCGATATCAAGTGCTTTATGGATTTCAGGTCGACTGGTGTTTTACCCTGCCGTGTAATAGTCGTGTAGCAGAAAGGGATCAGGGATTGACTAGGGTTTGTCAGTAATCATAACACAGACCCACAAAGTAACCACGAGGCGTAGACATACCGGTGTGCTTTGGCGAGCCGAGCCGCGGAGGTGGTCTCAGCCCCTGTCTGTGTGCGCTTGCCTGCAGCTCCTGAAGCAGGAAGACCATGTCGACAGGCAGAAGGCGAAGGTGGCTTCGACCCTGGACCGCCTGGCCCGCCACGTGGCGGTGGAGAAGAGGGAGCGAGAAGAGAAGTGCAGAGCCTTCAAGGTTTGTCGTGCGGGAATCGCGTCGCGGTCGGCAGTCTGCACTGGTGAGACCGCGGGCGCAGACTGGCAGGCCCTGCGATGTGGTGTGTTTCAGCTGCTCTGGCGATAGGATTGCTGTGTTTTCCTGAGGTTGTAGTGAAATGTTCTTTCATGTTCAAGTGACTTGATCTTGACATATTTAATAATCTCATTAGGAAAGCTTCTAAACAAAAGATGACCTATCATCTTCCACTGTTAACCTACTGTAATGGTTTTTATCTCAATCATTAATTGGCAGCTCTCTATCTCTGAAGTCTAAAAGTTTCCTTGAGAATCTTCTTGATAAGGATATTCAATAATTTAATACATTTCTCCTGTAACAAATAGACTGCCCAACAGCGTCTTGAAGAGGCAAAATCTTAGAATTTGACTTGAGGGATAGGAAATTATCTTCTGGTTGTACATGTTTGAAAATACATTTTTGTTTTTCAAAATGAAACTTTCAAGGCTAATGCCTTACGTATAATTTTTAAGGCATAGGTCCTAGTTTAGCAAATGTTCTCAAATGACTTTTAAAAGTTAGTTTAATCTAGCTTTCTCCAGAAGTACTTTCATACCATTAATATATTTTTAAAAAGAATACTAGTACTGGAGTATGATCTGTAGATTTTAATTAGCTGAATGTGCTTTTGTGGAGAATACTGATTTCATTATGTCAAAGTAAGGACACTTTTTCAGCATGCTGTTTGATTTTAGTCTAAATTACATCGTAGACCAATCAATGGTGATGCAAGAAAGCACAAATCTCCATTTTTGGCAGATAAATCAGTTGGTAGGATTTGGCTTGATATTAATTTTACAATGTCTGATGTGTGTTTCTCTGGCGTTGGTTCAGGAAAAAATGGATTCACAACAGGCACATGGTCTGCAGGAGCTTGAATTTATCCAAGGAAGCCCCCATAACAAAGATGCCAAGCGCTGTGTGGACCAGTGGTTAAAAATGCCAGGTACAGTTGGACATCAAATGAGACTAGGAATGGGACGTTAATCAATAAGCAATATTTATTTGTGCTGTTTATTTTATTCTTTTGGATATAAGTTATCATTTAAACAATACTTACAGACTATATGGGCTTTGGTCAATCCAGATGTTTAAATCCTGTGATGTCAGGGACAGTGTGGTTTTGCATTTTCTCTGCTGAATTTTATTGCATCAAAACAAAGCACATGACATGCTTTTAGACCTGCTTTAATATTGCCAAGCACCTGTTGTGATGGAGGCTGGACCTTTCCTTACAGCAGTTGTCACCTAGAAACCACAACCACAGCAATCGGGTTAATGGTAAATTCATGCAAGCCCTGGACTTTAACTAGCAACCTTATTGACTGCTTTTAAATGAATTGCACTTTAACCACATACTTAATAATTACCCAACAATATGCAAGCATCCTCACACAACTGACAAAAGTAGATTTTCTGTTTGGTTTAGGTCTTTAATAACAGAGTAAAATCATTTGCGTAAAGGGATCAGCTACACAATCACAGACCAAAGAAGACCCAGAGAGCTGGTAGTCAAATCTATCAGCTGCTGCTTTTGCCTGTGATAGTGAGAGGATAACGATTGTGAGGGGTTCACGAGCACAACACAATGATATGTAGAACTGAGGAAAGACGTGAGCTTTAGAGAAATAGAGCCTTTAACCTGCAAAGAACAAAAATATTATATAGGAAAGGAGAAACAGAACACAAATTAGTCAGCAAGAGACCTCTGGTATATACGTGTCCCTCTTGTGGTAATTACTCTAAGTCCTTAAGTACTATATTAGAGTTATGGGACAGAGAAATTGAATAGTTTTTATTTTCTCCTTGACCAGTAACAATAAAAGCAACAATTTTTCGATTTTGAATGTCATGTAGTTCTGACTTTATTCATGCTGTCAATGGCAGGACTGAAACCAGGTGTGTTGAACGGGAGAGCAAGGTCTTTTCTGAAATCGGCAGCATCTCCATCTTCTCAGATGCATCCTGTCACGTGTCCAGTATTGAACTGCAACCGATCCTTTGAAAATATACCTTTGCTCATGGGTCATCTCAAAAGGTTAGTCTTATTTGTTGCTTGAGTAAAACTATAAAATGCACCAAAACTCACTCATATTTTTAAAATGCTCATGCTCAATAATGATGTTTTAGTGTCAGAAATATTTTGCAAGGAAGCATGGTCTCATGGGGAGACTCTGCTGATAAAACAGTAGTTATCAAAAATGCTCACCGCCAGTGGATTTTATTATAATTTGTTGCATTTGAGTAAGGGATCATAATATATTTAATAAGGATTTTTTTATCATTGATCTACAAAAAAAAATATAATATCAAAGTGAAAAAAATTCTACAGATCCTCCTAAATTTATCAGTCCATTTTCTCCTAAATTCATTATAATGATTCCCATCCAGAGTGCGTCCTGCCTTGTGCTCATTGCTGGTGAGAGTAGGCTCTGGCTCCCCCGTGGCTCAGTATCGGAAGAAGTGGCTATAAATGAGTGCTTTTCATCTCAAAATGATCTACATGAAGAAGTGGACTCATTTAAGCTATTATGAGTCTCATTACACATCTAGAGGAATTATTTCACCCAGTAAATGAAGGCAGAAACTTTAAGTAGGCTAAAATAAGCCCATAGTGGAATTGAGCGATAACAGCAGGGGCTCACACCTGCTCTTACAAACTGCGATCTTAAATGAACATTCAGGGCGGCATATTAATGTCTCATCCAAAAGACAAAGTCTCCTCTAACACAGTGTACTTGGTACAGTAACTATGTTATTGCTTGTAACTGGTCCCAAAGGAAGAGTGCCACTGGTACACCAAAAAAGTGGGAAATGAAACCATAGCTTGCGTTTCGGAGCACTAGCTAACCATTCCCTGGCAGATTTTAGAGAGCAACACAATGGTGAAAAAAATAGCAGCCTTTTAAAAGCCTTTTTTATGGAAAAGCTTATGGAAACTTCAGATGGTCAACTCATGGGCTCTTCAGAGGCCCAGTATTCTTTTTCTAAGAAGTCTTAGAGATTGCTCTGTAAAGTTCCACTTCTTCGTCTCTTTCTCTGGCCATCAGCTGCCACTCCCTTTTCATAAGTCACCGGTGGTCAATTGCAACTGCAGTGGCCCAGCCGCTGTCTGAATCACGTCCCATTCTGGGGCTTATAGTCTTGGTCCGCAATACCATCTCTCCACAAGTGTCTCAAGGGTCCTGGATACTATGACTCAACCCCTCACCGTATTACAGTAAGAATATTTCACCCTCTTGAAGTCTCTGATGCTGCTTTTCCCTTTGTTTCAGTGTAAAAGTCAGACTTTTGTGAAATTTCCATTTGGGAAATGCAGGTGCATTGGAACCACTCAAGAAGATTATTCTCTGAATTTGAAGTTACAGTGGGAATCTTTGCATACCTCTGTAGCCTAAGGAAATTTATATTCTCTGATGTCTTGTTTCATCTTGGGCAGTGAACAGCTGCTGTGAATTTTTCCTTTTAATAAAAACCAGTTTATCTGACAGAACCCTTGGGGCAACAGAGTTGTGTTAGCTTAATCTATTGTGTTTCTAGATTTGACCATTCTCCATGTGATCCCACTGTGTCGCTCAAAGGGAGCCCATCGATTTCTTATGCCTGTGTCGCTTGCTGCAGGCGTTACCCAACTGAGCAGGAATATAAGAACCATCTGCAAACTAAGGTAACAGATGTGCCCCAGCATGCAAGTTGTGTTCTGTACATATGTACATACACAGCACTTCCAAACTTAGCTCAAAGATCCTGACTGGGACTGTAGTCTGCAAAAGTGTGTGTTTTTTTTAAGTACTAGTCTGTACTGGAATCCTAGTCTGCAACCTCTTCAGGGAAATCCTAAATAGTGTTACAAATAGGGGGTTCTGAAAATAAGAGAATATGACTGAGCAGATTAATCAATTCATAAATTAGTCAGAACCCACAATTGTAAAGATTTTGCTAAGAATATGCCTGGGCGGTTGGTGTAATTAGAGGCACATGAGTTCTTTTTCTCTGGTACAGCTTTGGTGAAAACAGGCATAATTTAGGCACACTAGGTTAAACAAATATGTATTAACAGTGACAATACACACACTAAACAACCCACAACATAAACATTAAACACACAAGGTACACTGTGTGCAGACTTTCAAATAAGGTGTTAGGCCTCTGGGACGTCCTAACCACCCAGAAAACCCCAGACTGCTACCAGGTATTTGACTCTTTAATGCCTACAAAGGCCAACAGAAGAGGAAATCCCTTTCTCTGCAAACCTGGATGCCACAAAATGAATGGGAACCTATCTCCCTAATTCTAAAAATACACCCTCTAAACAGGAGAGACCTGTTTTTAACCAAGGGATTCTTCACACATGACTTTCGGGTTCCCTAAAAAAACACAGAACAGCAAACGCTCTTAACAAGGTTCAATAATTAGCTCTAATCTGGTCTTTCTGGGTGATCTGGCACAAGGAGCTCTCGCCTTTTGTCTTCCTCTTTCCCTTGTTGTCTCTCTCCTCTGTACCTGCCTGTTTTATGGCGTCTTTCTGGACTCTAGTCTGACACTTAATGATTTAAGCAGAACTTTATTAAGGTAAATCAAGGTAAACTATACAATTGCTTTGATCACTGAATCCTGGACCACTACATCTCAGTAAACATTTCCTTGCTTTGAAGCTGGAAATGTTGACACAAGCCAGGTGTGATCCATTGCATCTAGATTTACTTCATAACAATAGTAATCATAAAGTAGGACAGCAGAGGAGACTGCATTCATTGTTATAAATCCCTGCAATGGTTCTGTGTTTGTATTGTGTGCTGTTGATCTTTTGTCAACCCAAGCCACGAAAAGGATTGCAATGATATTTTGAATTGGAATTTATTGAATTTATTGCTTTGTCACCGTTGGTTTTTTTATTCAGATCTTTTCCAGTGATGCAGATGGTCACTCCAGCACTTTGACTTCTCAGCCAGTTCACTGCTTTGCCTGTCCGTCTTGTTACTTCCTTTTCAACATCAGAGATGAATGTCTGCAGCACATGTCAGCAAGAAATCACTTCGTTCAGACTCTCAAACTCAGTGGTGAGTTCAATGTTTATGGGGTCATTTGATCACAGCAGATCAGTTAACCCTTGATATTTCAAAAAGGAGGTCACGTTCCTAGTCAAATTTGTTTGACAGTCTTCTTTCCAAAGAACGAGACTTGGTCCTTGAATTGATCCTTCCTGACCTTTGCAAACTAGACACCAAGTTTGGATGGAAGCTTCTGTCTCGTAGATTGAAGTTTCTAATGACAGGTGGGTTGCAGCAGTTCAGGTCCTTCTGTATGCTCTCAGGTTGCTTCCTGACATCTGACTTTGAAACAAGAATAATTTAAGTCTCAGTTTAGACAAAAACAATTATTCTTCTATTACGTGCACGGCTCATGCTAAGTTTATAGGCTCATCAGGTCAGATCAAACCCCAGTTCCTGTAGCATGAAGCTCTACGAGAGTACAGATTCCCCCCTCCCTCAAATGTGACTATTGCTCTGTGTGCCATTCTGACGCTGAGAAAGCAAGGATAGCTCTGTTAAATTATTGGCTGCCAAAACTGCTGACAAACCTTTTATTAAATACGTCAACTATATCATGTATGCGTTACAGTAACTGAGTATAATCAGAAATCATATAAAATACTAGAATTTTGGAACATTTCTGCAAAGCCTTGATTTCCCAAGGCTTATACTGGAATTCTGGAATTCTGCACTGTTATTGTGGGATGTTTCGTTGTGGCCTGTGCTTTTAATGTTGTCCTGTCACTCTTGTTTGAAGATAAAGCCGATATACCAGCTCCTCTTCCTATCCCATTATATGCAAAAAAGCTTCTTGTTGGTCTGTGCAAAGAAGTCAGTTTCCGGGTGAGATGCATGGCCTGCAAGAAGGTGTTGAATTCACATATGGAGGTGACGGCGCATTTTAAGTGAGTATACCTACCTATGTGTAAATTACTCCATTTTCATGTAGTGCTTAGATTATTAAAAACAGCGTCCCTGAGGTGATACTATTAGCAGCTTCTACTTTGTCTTCTAAAGACGCTTGGAAAGACGCAGTGTTCCGTCCAGGTTGCTAATGTTGGCATTTTTTTATTTTTCATCCAATAAACAGGGTCCAGTGCCGAAACGCCAGCCCAGTGGCAGAAGCAGCTAAGACTGTGGCGCAGGTCGTTGAGGTGCTGAGGGTAAAGGGACAGTGTGCCCTGTGCTGTAAAATATTCCGCGACGACAATGAAATTCTAAAGCACGAGCAGCTGACGCTACACAAGGTGGAGGTCATCTCCACCATGGAAAAGGCCATCTTGCAGTTCTGCAATTTTTTTGAAAAAAGCAAAAACCCACAGAGCTTGGAGGCGTGGTCAAAACACATCCGAGTTCCCCTGCTGAAGAGGCCCCCCAGTCGGGAAATGGATAAGAAGAGTCCCGATGCTTCGAAAGCTAAGCGGCAGAGGAGACGCACGACCTCGAGCGGAGGGCAGGAGCCGGCTCCCGTTACCCCAGCCAGAGAGAAGGCCGGCGTGACCGTCTGGCTCTGTGAGTGCAGCCAGCGTTTCCCGGCGGAGACGGCTGCCGAGAAGCACATCATGGCCGCCAATCAGATCTGCTACAGGTGCTCGGTGTGCGAAAAGCGGACCGAAGACTCTTCCCTGATGGGCTTGCACATGAGCCGCTTTCACGGCGGGGCCCACCTGAACAACTATCTCTTTTGGTGCCGGAAGTGCAAGATCGAAATGCCGAGGAAGGAGGACATCATGTCCCACGTGACCGACTGCCACCATGGCCACACTTATTACTACGAGCAGGAGGAGCCCGAGGAGCCCGAGGAGCCTCCTGCCCCTCCGGGCAGCAGCGCGGTCAGCCAGTGCCACATGGACCAGGGCGGCGGAGGCCCGGCTGTAGCTGGTGTATCTGGGCAGTGGCTCTGCAGGATGTGCGAGGACCTCTTTGACTCGGAAAGCAGCGTTTACAAGCACTGCAGCAAGGTGAAGAACCACTCCTTCCATAAGTACCTCTGCGGTCTCTGCAAGGAGAGGTTCCTCAAGACAAACACCCTGTATCGTCACTTCCAGGATGTGCACAAAGGACAGGTTGACATCAGATATTTCTGTGGGCTTTGTGATAGCATGGAATACGGTACAGAGGAGGAATTCCTGGAGCACTACCAGTCCTACCATAGCAAGGACTATGTATTCATGGATGAGTCTCCCAAGGAGAGAGCAGCACAGCCGGCACACCAGGATCAGGATCAGGATCAGGATCAGGGTGTCACCCAGAGCTGTCCATGCCAGGTGTCCGGTGAAGAGCAGAAGCAAAACGCTTACTCGGAATGCATAAAGGCACTTCTTCCAAAACACAAAGAAAACTACAGCTGTGTCTTGTGCCCAGTGAGGGCACACACTCTAGAAGAGCTGAAGACCCACATGAATGAGAAGCATAACATTTGTGGTGACAAAATACGCTATCGGGTGTCATGTAAGTACTGCACCGAGCAGTTTCCTGACACGCTGGAATACCACGGCCACTATCATTCGAAGCACTGCTTGCTCCAGCCTTGTGTCCTTCAGGCTCCGTCCGCTGGCCAGGAGAGACTGGAAGAGGCAAAAGGTACTTGAACCTCGCCAGTAATATGACAGAGATGGAGAAATTGTCATTGATATTATCATATTTATAAACACCTTTCTCAGGATTTACAATCAATCTCTTATGGTGTTTAATGGTTGTTTCTTTATCTGCAGTTCAGTCTTAATTCTTGAACCTAATCAAGATTAAGAATAACATTTCTGCTTTTAACACTCATGACCTTGAGATTTGTACAGAGAAATGACCATTTTATTTCAAGTGCAATAACTTGTATGCATCCACCCAGGCATCTTCAGTTCTCACATGGCCCGTCTGACAGAAGTGTTGCCCTCTTGTCGTATTTACTGGCATTGCTGTTGCCTGAACTTGAAGTGCATTGGTTTGAATCCGACATCCTTTGAAATTAACATTTTCGTTTTTCTGCTGTAGAATTTGAGGAAGAAATTAAGCAGGCCTTGGCTTTAAGTTTAGAAGAGGCAAATCAAGTGACCGAAGATGATAAAGGTGTGTAATACATTTTTAATATGAAACTTCAGCTGATGCCTTTTAAGTATGACATTTTTATAAATGACTGCCGAGTAGCTGTTGGGGACTCCTTGACTGCCATTATGTGAAATGTAATGGTCATGTCGGCATTTTCATTCGCAAAGATCTCCATTACTGCTGCTCTGGTTATTTTTTTGTTTAATTGAAGTGCAATTAAAACCTAAGGCTGTGGCAATGCATTTGCATCAGTCTATTGATACAGTCTGTCATTTGATCACTGACATTTGGCCAGACTGGATTGTTTTTTTTTCTTTTCTGTGTGAAGGTTTAAAACCAGGCGAGTTTTGTTTGAGTCCAGAGCTTCCCTGCAGCCCTCCAGCCTGACTCAATGGCTGTGTGTAAGAATGAATCTCTCTTGCACAGCTCCTGGTATAAACGGGGGTCATTTAGTCTGTGATTGGTGCTGGCTAGGACTAGCAAGAAGGCACTATAATCTACTGCTGCAATTGTTTAGCCATATTTCAAAGCTGCGTAGCACAACAGTTGGTGGAGTTATGCCATTATGGGCACCATCTTCAGAATACTCTACAGTCTTTATAAATAATATACAGAACGGGGTGCAATATCACCAAATTAGACTTCCATTTTTATTTTGTAATAAAATTGAGTATACCATGCATAAATGTATTGCTGTGCTTTTCAGAACCTGTCACATGTAATTAAGTAATAAATTAAAATCAGTTTTTTGATGCACACTCATTTTTTAAAGCTGATCAATGCGTCACCTTTTTAGAAGACAATGTATCAATAGTAATAGATTAGGCATTGCCCCAGCCTTATTAATACCTTTAGAGACCTTGTTTTGTTAATTGGCATTTCTGTCTTTGCTAGCTTTGCATTGATGGTGAATGATCCCTGTATCATATGGGTATGTTTTATCTCTGCACTCTCAGCATTTCTCATTGTTCTATCACATCTTGTGGTCTCCAGTGGGAATCATTTAGAGGACTTGTTTATGGTGTTTATTTCACTAAATTTATTTTAAGTTTAATAAACTAAGTTTATTTCAGTTTAGTTTTTTCACTTTGATTCTCACCAGGGCAATGCAATTGAAAAAGTTCTTGCACTAATAGCTGGAATGTACAAAATATGTACAAAATTACTTTATATGCAGACAAATGTAGGGGTTTCTAAGTGATAATTTTAGTCTTTGATTCTTCTACATTTTCTGTGATCATAACTAATGTTTTAGTCTGACCCTTACCTGTTAGTGTTTGTTAGTCATAGACCAATGATTGGACATTCCTGGACAAAGAAATAGCTTTAGTTGTTTTTGTAAATTGTAATAGAATTTGTTTCCTATTTTATATGTGGTGATTTAGCCAGCACTACAGTTAGAGGGGTGTTGAGCGGCATGGCTCTCATCGACATCACGGCAAGCTCACCAGTGCCAGCAGGTCCCAGAAGCAGCTTTCACACTGACAGCCCAAGCAATCCCAGCAGCCCTCACAAATGGTGTCCTGCTGCTTGGGCTATCTGGGTCACAGCGTGCTCAAATCACAGGGCGGAGGACATCTGCACCACTGGCCTGAACAGCTGCTATGCTTAGACACCGTGACTGCTGTGGCCGCTCCAGATCCCAACAAGAAGATTTCTCTAGGCTAGGTCATTCTTAGATCAATTATTAACAAAGACAAGAATTGATTTAACATCAAAACAAGGAGTTGTTTAATAGTTTTTAAGACTTCAGAATGAAAATGTGAGAGTCTTCTAAGAGTAGAGATAAATTTGCAAGTCAATTTCCTAAATTGATCAATAGCTCCAGGGCTGTGACTTTTCTGGAACAGAGTTGGCCAACCCTGATACAAACTAAAAATGCAGACAGCATTTGTTTTTGCTATACAGTTTACCCGTTTTATTGTTGTTAATTATATACTTAAATAAGTACAAACTAGCATTATGAGTCCGTAAATGCTTGTATTGAAAGTGGGTTCCAGTGATGATGTGCTGTTTTTAACTGAGTGTTCCCACAGCAAACCTCTAGTACAGAACTGAGAAATAAGACACCAGAAACAATGTCCTCTTGCATGTGGTTGACTGAAACAACAGGGTTCTGTGTGTGTGCTGAGGAGAATGATCTGCCATTGTCACCTTTGCACCGAAGAGGCAGATTAATATGAGATATTCTTATTTGGGGGGTTTACCCAATTTAATTTGATTTTCCACCTGTTTCTTTGTCCCCCAGCTGTGCATTTGGATCAGACTTGAAAGCCATCCTTACACTGAATGTATAGATACTTGGAATGCAGAGCAGGGCTAAAATTAGCTCTTGTCTGTATCATCTCTGCCATCCAGCAGGCTTTGTAAAGTTAGGGATCCCTGTGACAGTTAAAGGGACAGCAGGCTGCTCTTGCAGGGCGCAGAGCTGTTGGGGTGTCCGCTGTGTAAGTGTGTTCGAGGTAGTGAGTGCTGGAGGGCTGGGTGTGATACAGGGTACTAGGGAGAGAGTAGGGGCTGTCTGGACAGCAGGCTCTCGGTGCCCTGAAGAGACTTGGGGTGGGAGAGACGGAGTTCTGAGCGCTGCAGGCTCTGTGTGCGAGACCCAGCCTGGTTGAAGAGCAAGCGAGCTGTAGGCCCCAAGCTCGTGTGTCACCAGGGTCACTGTGAACGAGGGGCTCGGTGACGTCAGGCCGTGGTTGTGGTGGAGTCTGTCGGCCAGTGTGAGCAGCGCTCTCGGAGGACAGTGCGTGTATACGTGTGGAAGAGGTTCCCCAGCAAGCTCAAAGAGGCGTGTCTGGAGCATGGGACACACCAGTCCAAGCTCAAGTGGTGGCCCCTACCCCTGCGGTGTCACACCATGAAGATCTAACTGCATTTTAGGTGTAAAACATACAAGACTAGAACCACTAGGGGGGTTAACACACACTTTTTAACAAACCTGAAAGAGACACCAGGACCAGAATCAGACACCTGCCTGAGACCATTACAAACCTGACACTCAGCTGACTTTAAAAAATAATTTTCATCATCATGTCGGTTATGCTTTTTTTGTTTACAGTGAGTAATAGATTTTAGGCTTTTGCTTTTTTTTCCACCTGTTTGTTGATATGAGTTTATTTGAGTTAAGGGATTTTCCTGTCTTCAGTTTTGAGGTTAAAATGGTTGTTTTCCCCTGTACTTTGTGTAATGGTCACAAAAGCAAGAACATTGAGACCAAACGATTTCTTTCTATTAAAGCATTGTTTTTGTATTTTGTTCTAAAATAAATAAGTAAAACACAATGTATAAATGTTAATTGTTTTATGTTTGTTTTATTCTATATTCATTCTATTATTTTAAAAAAACATAAATTACACCTGGATTTGGACATGATTTTTGCTTGAAAATCGGAATCTCTGATTAGAATCCATCAGAACAGGGTGAAGCCAAGCTGCAGTGTGTCAGCTTACTAGCATTTCTGTATTTGTGGCAGAATATGGTAGTAAGGTGGTTCCTGATCTGTTCTGACTGGTGGATTTACATTCTCAGTGCAGACACTGTTGTAGCAAGCAGATTGCTGCAGCCCACCCAGCTGTAGAAAGCGTGGAGTCTCATCCAGGGAGACTCTTGAACTCAGCCAAAACGAGCTTCAGTACTTAGGAATGTAAAATGAAAGATCAGTTTCATTAGATATTGCAAGCTTTGTTTTCCCAAGTTGTACAGTATAGTAGTGACCATATTAGCCACTTGACATCTGACTTTGATTTGAAAAAAAGAAATGCACATTCAGTTTACTTGCTCTGTTTCAGTTGTTGCTCACAGGTTTGCCGAGTCCATTATGATTTTCAAGTGTATTATGCTCTATTGCTAAATTCATTTTTATCCCTTATCTCTGCAGAGCTCGAAGAAGCTATCACTAGAAGCCTTCAGGAGTTCTGATCCAAAGATGACTTTTAAGTGATCTTTTTTTTTCCCCCATGAACCTGAATAATGTTTAAACTGGTAATACTGGTTCCTGTTTAAAAAAAAAAAGCAAAGCAATGTGTGTTTATTATTATTTGATGACTCTTAAGTTGGAATGTTAATAATTAAAGTCAGCATTATTCAATAAAAATACAAATCTATTATTAAGGTTAAGCATGTTTTATTATTGAGCAAATATTTTATTTTTTCCAGGTATAAAGCGTATAAATGTGTAAATTTAGATGAAGATCGATTTCCTGAAGATGGTTTTCCCGCTATTTTTAGTTTTTCTTAGTTAAGAAGAATCAATTTGATTTTTAAAAATAAAAGCACATAGAGCCCGCCTCATGTCTGTGCAGTGGTGGTGGTAAAGACTGCACACTTCCTCGAAGTGCACAGTGGGAAGACGCTCCGCTCTCCTCACACTTGGAGTCTGAAAATGCCTACAGGAGGGCTGGTATCATGCCTGACAGCTCCCTGCCAGCCTGCTGTTCCACTGTGGGCAGAGGATGCCTTAGCTGCCTGCACACTCACCCAGTTTAGCCCTGAACCAGTTGTGTGCCACTGTCTGGGGAAACTGGCTCACAATCGTCAGACATCGCTTGGACTGCAACCCGCAGTGTCTGAACTGACAGACTCCACCTGTGCTGGTGCACCTGTACGGTTTGGGCCTCTCAGGAGTGGGAGCAGTGATTAAATACAAATACTCTTCCTCTGGGTGTAGGACTTTTAACGGCACAGGACATTTTTCAAAAGGTAGCCTTTAACTCTGTTTGCTTAATACATTAAATTTTAATACTTTACACACCTGCAGGCAAAAAAAAACCCAAATCTTTTCTGTAAAATGAATAATGACAGATCGTATTCAGAAGATGACGGGGGAATAAAATCTTATCCTTGTCATTCTTCATTGAGGTTGTATTGGCGCTATAACATGAACAGGCTGTTTTTAATTCATATATTTAGGTCTGTGAGCAGTATGTCCTGTTTTTTTTATATATAATGCAGGTTGGGAATGTGTGGAAGCAAGCATGCTAATTCCAGATAAAGTACTGCGGGTTCATTAATAGCCTGTGTGCACTTTGTGCATAAAGGAACCAAGTGCAAGTTAAACAGGTTCAGAGACGTGTTCTGCTTCTGCCGTCATCTCTATATGCGTACATATATTAGTAGAGTGCAGTGCCCGATGAAATCTGAAAGAAACGAAGGTGAAGCTGGAAGAAATATAAAAAATCTAGTTTTTCTACCTACTGTATGTTGGCATGCTGTAGTGTGATTTAACGGCACAGAATGAGGTACGACAAAGCGCAGAAAATGTGAACATTAAAGCCATTACATGAGTAATGTATTACATTAAAGTGTAACATGAGAAAATTGGTTATGTTAACAAAATCACCATGTAATTGTCATGAAAAATATAACGTGACATTCGCGTTTCTCCTGTCTATTTAGCCTGTTGTCTGGCGGGGGCGCTATAGTATCATACTGGGCTAGCCTGTGAGCACCGATACCGCAGGAGGTTAATGTCAGTGTCGTTCCGCTTTAATATGTATGCCTGTTTTTCAAAGGCGGCCGTTCCATAAATGGTCAAAATAGGATATTTCCAATTCATAGAGAGTCATGGTCGTTCGTCTGCGCTTGATTGAAATGATCCACGACAAGTCACACGGGCAACTTGGCTACAATGTACCGAGGCTACAAAGGGCGCAGTCTGTGATACCCCGTGGAAAACTGGGACTGTGCAGGGTTGAGACCGGCTGAGATGTCGGGGTCAGTGGATTGTGCTGGAGCCCCCCGCCCTGCGCCGAGCGCTCGGCCTGCTCCCCGGGAGAGGGCGGCAGGGAAGGTCCGGCCCATGTTTGGAAATGTTGACATACGGGCGCCGCCTGCGAGCGGCGAGCTGCAAGCGAAACTGCTAGAAGGTGCCCCTAGAGGGAAGATCGGAGAGCAGTGGGTTAAGGAGCTGCGACTCTCCCGGGGAATCGGCATTTCCAGGCACCATGGCTCAAGCTAAGATCCTCGCCAAAATGAATGAAAGTGAGAGGAACAGCAAGTTCAGCAGATCCTTGTCCATGGCGGATCGATCGGGACAACTGCTTGAGAGCCTGGATCAGCTAGAGCTCAGGTAATGTTTGGGGTGGGGGAGGTTTTAGAAAACTTTAAACATTTTTAAAAGTTTAAAATGAAAAGAACAGCGGCCGAAGTTCGCTCGTCTTGAATGGATTGTATTTCAGTTTTTTTTAGAGCCGCTTTCTTGTGTTCGTGGGCTCTGGCACCTTGTTTCCAAGACCGCATTCTTGTCCTGTCGCTTAGTCTCGTCTTCAGAGATACATTGTATCTGAAAACAACGGCACACTTTGTTGTTTTGAAGCTCGTTTGCAAATATTTCAATTTTTGTATTGTATGAAAAACAGGTGGACAAGGGGGGGGTCGACTCCCACGTGCCGTCTTGGGAAATTAAAAATAGCCCCTTTTGGGGATTCTCGGGGCTGCTGCGCTTCAGCGCAATCCACTTCACACTTTCATACGAAAACCTGCTGTTCGTCAACACTGCCTTGTGATTTTACTGCTCGGAACATTTAACTTATTGGCTGTTTAAATCCTAGACCTGTCCGTTTCTTCCAAACAGCTGCAGTTCAACACGTACCGTACAGTAGGTTCACATTCCTCACATGAGTGTCATTTTACAAGGAGATTACAGAACCGCAGGATGTATTTCTTTGGAAATGTAGTTCACGTGTTTTCTGATTTTTGTCCAGAACATTTTGAGGCAGAGATAATTGTCCTGGATCTAGCTGTACACTACGTATAAATATTTTTACAACACTTGGCAGTTGATATATTTGTACATAATGATCCTACTTTACTTAAATTTGAAACAAATTCTTAAGTGCAACAAGAATATAACCATCTGGTTTCCTCAGGCATATCCAATATTCACAACCTAAGTTTGTTCTGTAATATAATAGCATTGTTTAAATAGGCCGATCTCAAATGGAAAAAATGCAAACCCATTGGTGTAGTTTTTCAGCATTAAATGTAAAATGTGTTACTAAGGCCAGTCGATTCTTTCATGAAGTAAAACAGACTTTAAACATTGTTGTCTTCTGTCAGAGTGGAAGCTTTACGAGAGGCAGCGACTGCGATGGAGCAGGAGAAGGAAAGTTTGCTGGAAATGATTCAGTCTGTGAAGAACAGCCAGGAGATGCGAACCATCAGTGATGGTGAGTGAGAGGAGTGTCACACTGTAGGTCACGGACAGCTGTCACACAGGTGAAGACTGACAAGGTCTGTGAAAACCGTGGATCTTATTTCCTGCACCCTTTCCATGTGCAGCATACATAGTCTGGAGCAGGGTTTCTTTAACCTCGTTTGGCTACAAGACATCCTGCTCAAGCAGTCTCTCAGATGCCCCAATTTAGATATAACATCAAGCCGAAGTCTGTGATTAGTTTTCAAAGAAATCTACTATTTGTTAAAATATTGCAGGCAGATCTACATGTCAACAGATCCACTGTGCTATCAGAGCAGATCCACTTTTTTAAGAACATCGATTTTTCATGTACTGTAGATACATATATATATATATTCTCTTTGATTGTGGGGTCCTCTTAGACCCTAGTTAAACCCATCCATTGCAGTCTGGTAAAATCCGATGATCAAAAATGTTCATTTGAACCGACAGCAGTGCAATAGGGTGCGAGATAAAGGAACTGTCTTTGTAGCTTCCAGATTTAATAATTCCCCTGTTTAAATAGGAACAAAGAATATCACACACTGAATAGACAGTTTCCTGCTGAAAAAAAGTAAAGAAAAGTCATTTTTAGTGATATTTGTAACAAGATACAATCAACAATTATTTCTTATGATGTTTGTTGTTCCGTTTTCAACAGAGGAATGAATAAATCAGGAGGGCACAGTTTTAGTGAATTCAGCCTAGAATCAGTCAATCAGTGAAGCTGTCCATTGTGTACCTCGGATCTTGTTTGTGCTGCACACACCGTGTCTTCATTCTAGAGACCCCTTTTTCCCATTTTCAGGGGAACGGGAGGAGCTGACGTTGACCGCAGACCGCCTGCTTGGTCGAACCCTGACTGTCGAGGTTTCCGTGGAAACCATCCGTAACCCCCAGCAGCAGGAAGCTCTGAGGAAGGCGACGTCTGAGATTGATGAGATCGCCTCCAAAGTTCTGGATGACTTGGACGGTGCCAGAAAGCGCCTGATGTCTCTGCATGCAGCCTGTATCACTGAGGCACCCCTGGGTCCTGTGGATCAGAAGTTCCAGACCATAGTCATCAGCTGTGCCTTGGAGGACCAGAAGAAAATCAAGAGAAGGCTGGAGACTCTGATCCGAAATGTGGACAACACAGGAAAAACCATAAGGATTATGGATCAGCAGAAAGTCGACCTTCCAAAAACCTCAAATGGCAACTAAACCTGCCTGTGCTATTGTTACTGTAGAGCTAACATAACGACTATTATACACTCACTAATCTATAAGAGCTTAACATAACACTCTCCTGAAGAATTAAGATTTCATAGCATGATGGCATCATATACATTCCACTGAGCATAAGAAAGATGGAAAACGAGAAGGCCATTAGGTTTGTCTGAAAGGAGTCATTCAAAGAAATCCCAGTTTTTTTAAATTCAGGATTAAGTGAAAAGAGTTAAGTTCAGAAAGCAGTAAAAATATTGTAAACAGGAAAGCTAGTTTTCAAGTGTCTTCAGACAACACTGTGGAAATGTGGAATTTTTTTTACAGTGCTGCAGTTACTGAATGAGATGCCCTGAAGTCCTTCGTCGTTATGCCATTCTTATTTCATTGGGTATCATTCAGATTGTGAACAGTGCAGCTTTTTACATGTTAATCTTTTTCTGTAACACCCTTTTGTTGTGGAAAATACAGTGTGTGGAATACAGTGACATCTGGTTGCTACAGTTTGCTTCTTTGCAATCCAAAGCAAGTGTGAAGTGAGGTGTCGCTCCTCATTGCAAACTGCTGGACATGGCGCACGTTGTTCTCCAGTCTAGCAAAGTATATAAAATATATTATATTTTAGCCTAAGAAAACATCTGGAATTTGAGTGCAATTAAACAATGAGAAATGTTTTACTGTTCCTGACAGTTTCCCTATTTACCAGGTCCAAATGGTTTGGAATCAAAAGTTTAACATTTGTCTTTGTAGGGATTATTTTCTCAGAAGCTTATTAAAATTGGGCATTTTTCCCACAGTAAAGAAGTTGGCACACTTAATCTTTCCACTAGGGTGCAAGAATGGACTTAAATTCTTTAAGGTTAGATTCAAAAGGTCAACTGAGTTCAGTGCAACAGATAGTGTTGTGGTGTGCTTCTTTACTCTGATAAAATAATACCAACTTTGTTGTGAAAATTTGGCACAACAAATTCTTGCTACGTGGAAAAGTCAAAATAGCTGGAATAATAAGTTAATTTTCTGAAAGTAAAACAGTGAAATTAAAGCCATCACCAAGCAGCAGGCAGTACAGCAGCACCTCGCATGCATTTCAGAAGATGTGGCTCAAATAGAAACCCAAAGCAGGGAAAGAATTGCACTGGTGCAGCACACCCAGTGACGAAGGAAGGCATATCTGGATGAGATCAAGATCGTGCTTTCATACGGCATGAATAGTCATACAAAGCCGTTTTATTTTCTTTAAATCCTCTTCCAAGTACGAATTTTGCCTGAAGACAGATGCCTTCAACAAAACAGTCCTCATAAAGCAGTGGGTTAGGGAGGCTTCAGCAGACCGTTTTAGTGATTCTCCAGGCTCTTTTCAGCTGTCTAAATAAAGACTTGCCTTATTCTCAGGGAGACACAGATAAGTCAGGGATGGCTGCCCAGAAAATCCTTCTGCTGTCCTCAGATCTTTGTGTGAACCCTGTCTTGATAAAGTGGTTCCTAATTACCGAGACATTCCTGGTATGACTGCCAGATTTGTTCCTCTCCTTTTAGTAAAGCCCAGCACTATTTTGTCCAGAGACGCTTCACAGCTTCAGCACAGGAAAGCTGCAGTTAGCTGCAACAGGTCTCAGGACTCCATTCCTGGCCCACTGCAACCAGCATCGCAAAACAAGCTTTCCTGGCTCCTGCAAAAATAACTTGAATCTGCTGCAAACCAGTTGGCCTTTCTGGCCTATTCTCACCAGAAACTACACACTCAGATGCACGTGGCATTCTCATCCAAGTAAATGTTACGTTTTGTGCATGCATATGATCTCATTTGTTTGTCAACCTCCACGGTATATAGACTTTCAATGAGCTCTGACTCCACAGCAAATTACGAAGGGCCTAAAGCAGCAAGTACTACATTACCTGTCACGTTAAAAAAAACAGTGGTAGAGGCAGAAGGCGGTTTCAGGTCTTTAACAGTATATACTGTAGCTTCAAGAAAACCATACACCTCCCTCTCTTGTGCATTACTGGCCTGGTAAGAAAGAGCATGTGAAGTAAAAAAAAAAGGGATCAAAGGTAAAAAGAGACAATATAGTACCTTAATTTGAAACTCAATTTTTTAATGATGTAGAGTCACAATATGCAGAGGAGCATGGATTACACTGAGACATTGCTCCGTTAGTTCAGCTTTCAGTACCCTTTTTTGGTAACTGCACCTCAAAAAATCCAAATGTACCTTTACCAATACAAACAAAAACTGATAGCACTGATGTGACCAATGACTGAACATTACAAAATCCAATATGTAAACATTGAATTTTAATTCCAATACCTTGAAGAAATCAAGGGTATGTGTGAAGCCTTTGAAAAGTCTCGCTGCTGGCAGGAGTACAACAGGTCTAACTTTGGGATTTACAGTATCCTGCTAACTTAATATTGAACAGAAATTAAACTTAATGGACAGTCTAAAAATCTTACAGAATTAAAAAGATAACAGTATAGTCCACATGAAGTCTGAAGGATATGCTACATTTGTTACTTTCCTGTAGCCATATATTTATGAATTCAAAGAAAAGAATGCTTCTTTTTATTAGCTTAAGATGTGTTCTGACAACTTGTAAAAAAAACTCTTTAAAATTCATAAGGCAAACATTAAATGTTCTCAAAAATAAACTTGTTTAGAAATGCAGAATAGGAGAAATGATAATATATGAGTACAATGGAAACAAGCACAGAAACCTTCTCTTTGCAGCACTGCCCAAGAGCGTGTCAGCTACAGTCAAAACTATAGGAAGGCAAATACATATCAAAATGATTTGGCACTATTTTGTTTCTAAAGTTAGCTTTCTGGTTTCAGCCTACATTCAAGAAGCACTGTCAATTTCTATAAAAATATCCTTAAGAAGAGTTTTGGAACATCATGGTTCCAACTTGGTACATCCATGATATAACAAAGAATGTTCAATAAGGTTCAAGGAAAAAAAAAACATTAGTATCAAACAGTCTGTATATTTCAATCAGTACAAACATATTGCACAGATGGACAGTAATATGCACAAGTGGACATTTGTTGAAACCACATATGTGTACAAAGACGTAGGCCTGTGAGTATTTAACCATCAGAAAGAGTCACGTCAGTCAAGCCTTCACTGTGTTGTGTTGTCTAGATATCCTATACTGTTTGAAATCAATAATTTCATCATAATCAATTATGGAATGCTTAACATCTCAAATCTATAAAAATACACATTCCAACGTGGTGCAGTAAGTTACGGCCGATTTTGGCTGACCTACAAGGCACAGCCTCAGGGGGCACAGAAAGGCATTTGAAATTTAGATGAGGGCAGTCTTGCATCAGAACGATCCACAACAAAGTCACTCAGTCCACAATCGGCGAAGACTGCCCTCCGAGCGCAGGAGGGAGACCCTGTCCGGGCCTGGCACGGGCCTGGCACGGGCCTAGAGCAGGCGGCAGCCGCTGAAGGGGCTCTTGATCTTCTTGGTCCTCTGCTTGTTGGGTCGGAGGCTGATGACTTCCCGGCCGTTGAGAGTGCTGGAGTTGTGGCCAGAGTGGCTCCCGCCGGCCGTGTTGAAAACCCCTGGGACGAGAGGAAGGGTCAGCTGGCTCTCGGGACCCGAGGAACTACTAAAAACAAGCACATCCTGTTCCCCCCAGAGGACTCCCAGGCCAGGAGTCACAGCGAGCATCTCCCACCCTGCTCTGCCTCTCCTTCTAGACGCACTGAGCTGATCCGCCAGCAGCCCAAGGTACATCTTGAAGCTGCTCCATTGCAAATGACTTCAGGCTCCTTACATCTCAGACGGTCTCATGACTTAAACCAGGAATAAACAATAATGCATTCACACCAACACAGAGCCCCTCAACGTGCCCTCAAGTTTATCAGTCAAATGTAAGCTTATTTACTGAGCAAAATGTCCCTAATATCCTTAGTATTTAGGTGATCCTATCTGTGGGATCTGCAAGACTAAATTGATCTTCTTGCTGCTGTATGACATAAAAAACACGATACTAGTAACCCTGCATACTGACCGATTTTATTGCTGGCTGTGTGCACCACTTCTGGCTCCTCTGCCGTCTGTTGCTTAATCCTCTGAAGGTATTTGTCCGCAAGATACTTGAATACTGAGGAAGGATATTATACTGATCAATGAAAGAGAAAACTCAAGTTGGACAGGACACAAAAAACCCTCTTTTCCTCATTAGAGAATAACTAACCAAACTACAGATAAGAGAAGAGGAAAAAACTATAAATGCAGCTGTGTGCTCTTTAAAAGGCTAGTAAAAATCAAATCAGGATTTTAAATGATCTTTTTTCAAGCATTTTTTTGATCCTGAGAACTAATTCCACATCAACAAGTGCCTTTGACAGCCAGTCAAAGGCAAGTTGTCTTTCACCTGTTGGCAAGCCGATACTAGTTTCAGACACAGAATTCAATTCCTGTTATAATTTCTCTCTTCTCAATTCTGATGTTGATGCGCAGTAATGTATTTGTTTCACTGTACTTTTGTTGCCTTCTTTTCACTTCTATCGTGTATTGTGCTAAGTACTGCACTTTGAGTTTCTCAAAATGCATTAAACTGAGGTGCATAAACACTGGAAAAGCATGGACCTTGTGCTTGAAGCACAACAGTTCTCAGAGACTGCATCCTGGACTCCACTTACCTTCATTGACATTGAGATCTTCTTTCACTGAAGTACGATAGAATCTCAGCTTCAGCTTCTTTGCTAGTCCCTCAGCCTCCTCACTGCCCACCAGAGAACACAACGTTTTAATGAGAAACAAAAAGGAAAGAAAACTTCAAAACAGGAAAATGGCTTTTACTGCAATGTCAAGTTTTTGTCTATAAACAAAAATGTGAATTCACTTTCTTCATTTGTTCAAAACTGTCCTGTACAGACCGTAGAACGCACAGGCCTTGTAGTAGGAATGAGTCACAGTGGTGAAGAGTGCTCAGAGAAGCAATGGGACAGCAAGCCTCTCCTCTGAGCGGTGCTCAACACCTGCTATGGGGCTTGTGTGTCCAGGCCATGTCTCGAGGGAGGCTGGCTCTGAGGAGTCAGCACGCACTTCACACAGTCCAGAGAAAAGCAACCACTGCACTGCAATTAAGGGACAGGCAAAAGAAACTAAACCTTTTAGTCTTAAGAGCAAACAGAGGGGAGCTGATGCAAGTATTCAGATTTATGATGTCCCCTTCTTCGCGCTCATTGCTGCCTGCAACCCTGTACCCGATAAAACCATTAGAAAATGGATGGATGGGCAAACTCAACTCCAGGGGATTTCTGCAAAATGACAAACCAGAGGGCCCAGAGGGTTGCAGGAATACAGAGCAAGCTGCAAGACATGGCCGGGTGAAATTCTGAGATCAGTAAACTACTAATTAACAAAAGGTTAATTCAATCAAAGGCTAGATGATGGGATAAAGGCCCTTCTCTCATTTATAATCTTGGTTCTGTTCTCCTTTCCCAATAGGCTATTCTGAAGTGGATATAACAAAAATAGGTCATGATTGTACTGGAATATAAAAAAGAAAACTGCAGAATAATGAACACAACATGCTGGAGAAAACAACTTCCAGTGTACAGCTCACTGACATAATGCCACACCCTAGAAACAGATGTTGAAAGTCTCACTTCTTGATTACAGAGTCGTCCAGGAGATCGATTTTATTCTGCACGAGGACGGTGGGGATGTCTCCCACTTCGGCCTCCACCTTCTCTCTCCAACTGGAAATGGCTTCAAAGGACTCTCTGTCGGTGGTAGAAAAGACCAGCACACAGGCCTGCGCCCCTGAAAATGAGAGACTCTTTCACCTCACAGTGGAAGACGTGTCATTGCGTCAATGTAAAACAATTTACTTGCATGAGGACTATTCCGCTGGTGAAGAAACACTGCAATCGTACACCTGTATGAGAAGGAATGTGCGATAGTACAAAACATGCAAAGTCTTGTACTTGTTCACTAATAGTTCTGGGAGACCAGGTGTAATTCATGAAGTAAAATAATTTCAGTATGAATGCATAATGCCTGTTGCCACAACCCATCTTTATTCTACAATTTAGTTACAAGGGGTTTCCTAGAATAAGTTTTGTTTATAACTTTGTATTGCAAGAAAACATTAAACTTCTGTTCCTCAAATATGCTTACTGTGGTTTTTCTGGTCTTGCACTGCAGCTTTTCTGGTAATTCTGCTCAGACCACCTGCCACTAATTTGATGTCTAAATCTCATGTGTCCCCCAGGGAGATTTGTAATGTGGATATTGTCTACAATATCTAGAGAACTACTGAGCTGCCTGGTGAAGAATTCCAGAGGAATCAAGCAGTGCTGTACCGGGGGCCTGAGAGAGCAGGGACCTCCATACTACTGAATAAACGAGTATTCACGGACGACAAGACTACAGTGAGCAGGACTCTTGACAGGGTGCGGATGAAGATGATCTGCTGTACAGAAGGAAAATCCGATCACCAGGCACCACAACAGGAAGAAAGAGGAGTGCCGGGGAACTGGCGAGTGTGTATAAACTCAAGTGTGTGCTGGTCTGGAAGGCAGCCTGTCATCTTCTAGACCATATTCTAGAAGCAGCTAGCTTGAAGGTGTACTGGCTCTACGTACTGTATCACAGCATCCAGATTACAGACAACAGTCCCTGCTGAAACTATGCAAGGGAAATGGTCAACAGTCACAGTGAACCTAGGAAGCAGGAACTAAAGCCAAACCCTAGCTGCCTTAGCAGAGGTGTGTGATACATCCCCTCCAGGAGATGAATGCGATTCCAGAACTAAGCAAAGCTTCAATTAAGTGGATGTTATATGCATCACTTCCAGCTCGGCGTAAATATACAAGTGCCAAGGTTGTGTAACGTTTTGCAGTCCCCACCTCTGTAATAAGCCTTTGTGATTGCATCAAACTCCTCCTGGCCCGCAGTGTCCCACAGCATCAGCCTGACGTCCTCATCGTTAACTCTGTGCAGAGAAAGAAATCAGACACCCAGGGTAATTGCTACAACATTCTAACCAGCCTGAGCCTACACATGATAAAGCTCATCCTAATAAAAGAGCTCCAGGCTTCATGCTGGCCTAATGAGGTCCTGTTCCAAATATACGTATCGATGGCTTGCTAAATATCTTAAGTGGATACATAAATACCGCAAAACATGGTACATAAATGCACACAAGAAAGCAAAACTCCTCTTTAGGCTTCAGCAGAAAAAAAATCAAACTGCTCTGTGATGGATAGGTATCCCTAAAGTCACAGATTGGAAACTCTTGATTGATATGAAATTCAGACCAAAAGTAACTTCATTTTAAGTCTATATTAATTAACACTATAGCACAGTCTTTGGAAATGCTGATATATAAAATGTTTTGAGAAATAGTTTATATACAGTTTTAGTTTTTATATACAGGATATAAAAGTCTAGTAGAACAGATCTGATGTCTCCCAGACGTTATCTGGTAAGGTATGTAGCTCAGGGGTCCACCTGAGTGCATGAACCAGGAGAAGCCCTTGCTCAAGCACAAGCTGCGAACTATGATCATGGGTTCAAGCCCAACTGTGACAGAACTGGACTAGACAGACAGACCGGAGAGAGCCCCGAGACACTGCGATGAGGGGATGAAGGGTGCCTCTCCTCCAGCTGCTGCTGAACCTTGGGAATGGGCTGTGGTGCCCTTATTTCCTCAGCTCAAAGGATAAGTGGCTCAGAGGAGGCTCAGAGGAGGACAGGTCAGAGAGTCTGCCTACACTTTTGCTGCAGGCCGAGAGGTGGATAACATAGAGCTGGCTACTCCAAACTGGGCAGGTATAGGTATAGCAGAAGTAACTTGATTGTAAATTCATATAAAACGATAAAGTAGCTCCATTTGATCCATTCATAGGACAGAGGTGTTAAAAGATATGAAGTGTAACATACACCTTTACATTGCAGGCTGTGTGTGATGCATTCAAGTAGGTATGTGCATCAGCATGTGTAGGCTGCAAGGAATAAACCTTTACTTATTCCTATGTGCGATATGTGCAAGACACTCCTATAGTATATATGCTGTAGGTTGCAATGACCATTAGGAGTGACCACAAAGAGGCTTTGATTTTAAAAAACCAAGAGGAGGAAATTCAGTGTGAGAACAGAAAGACCAAATCATTTAGAATTTAGCTAGAATGTAACTTTTATTTTATACAATACATGTAAGGGATTTCAAATTCCCCAAACTGTCCGATTGACTTTTCAGTCTTCCTCCATAAGAGAGTTGGGTTTTCTAGAAAGATACTGTCTCTACTACTTCCCGATGGGAGCCATGTTTCCTCATCTTATTCACTTTCCTAATCCAATTGGACACAGCACAGTATTTCTTGGCTAAACTCTGGTTTGCAGACTTTGTTTTAAAGAAACACCCAAACCTTTTAATCGACATTACTCATTTATTTCTTAATTATTTGGTCTCTATACTGAAATCTGTAACAGTTTTTGGCTTCTGAACCATCACATTTCCACTAACACCTGTTTGGCAAGAGAATATTTTAAATAAAGGATGGAGTTACATCAACTTTGCTTCCATTACTAAAGTTTTTAGCAGCTAGAATTAATGACTATCTAATATTTGCCCTGTTTCTATTTGTAGATACCCTTAAGGTAAATATCTGGAGATCAACGTAAATAGCTAAATTCCCGTAATAATACACCAAGAAAGGTAAGATCATCAAGAGAAACAGAAGGGGGAAACACTGAAAATGGAAGCAGCAAAGCACTTCAGCCATTGAGTTATGTGAGCTCAAAGAGTCACAGACCTCAGGCACTTATTGTTTTGAAAGGAAAAGCAACTAAATTTACACTCAAATATACATACAAATGAAGTGACTGTCCTACAACTTATGATCACTTGAAATATGTGGGTTGAATATAAAGTGTTTTCATATGATCACGTATTACTCACCAAAAATAAAAGTGTTGATTATTTTGCACTTGTCGTATGATCACAAAAATATGTTTTGACTTTGCTGTTTTAATACTTATGGGAGGCACTGTGAAAGTGGCACACGTGCCCACTAGTGAGCGGATGTTGGATGTGACATTTACTGCCATTCAGCCTGAACTCACAAAGGTCAGAAGACATGAAAGAACTCTGGCCAGTTCCAGGATGAGTTATGCACCTACATCAAACTTCTACAGGCTGGAGCATAAATATTTTAGCAAACCCAGAACAGAGAAGCACATTTCATTTTTAATAAGTTACTTTCATGCAACAGCATAACAATGTGTTTCATCAACTGCCTCTGAAATGCTCAAACAATTAAAATAATTAATTGCTACGAAGGATTTTTTTTATAAAGCACAATATAAGACCGTAGAGATATTCAAAACCAAAATTGTGACACCTTCCTCCTTCTCTTAAAGGCAGACTCATCTCCTACTAAATCCTGGATTTCCAGACCTCTCCTCCTGCTCTCCCTGAGGTTGGACTCTCACTCTCACCTGCTGTTTCTCCATTTCCTCACGGCTCCCTGCCCTTCTTACTGCTCTGTCCTTTGCTCTCCTGTGCCTTATTTACCTGCTGCTTCCCCTCTCTCACACCTGACGAAGGCTCCAGAGCCGAGAAGTCCCGTTTCTTTCCTCACTTCTCAGCATGGAATGAATCTTTACCTGTTCCACTTCAGCCTACGCTTACAGACTCCTATGAATGTGAATGTGAGACTTTGGCGGGAGGGTCTTCTTCAGGTTTCTCCTTTCTATGTTTCAGGGTGAAAGTAACCTTTTCTGATCCTGTGAAGCCAATTCACACTGAGGCAGCTCCCACTCAAACACAAGTCTTGACCCTTACTGTATGTTGGTTTCTGGAGGCGACCGATCGGACGTACCGAATCTGCCGCTCGAGAAAGTCCACTCCGATGGTCTTTTTATAATCCTTGGTGAAGATTCCCTTGCAGTAGCGCTGGATCATGCTGGACTTGCCTACAGCTCCATTCCCCACCACCACCACCTTGATGGCCACCTCCATGTCCTCCTCCAGCATGGCTGCAGCTGAAAGTGCTCCGGTCAGGGGTCAGGGGTCAGGGGTTGAGACAGCTTCCACTACTCAGGGCTGGGTCTTGGAATCACTCGAGCACTACCTTGAACACATTGGAAATATAATCACAGGCTCTTAAAAAACAAGACAAGAATTCCGGTATATACGATATAAATATGATGAAGAATTCATCATGTAGGAATGATAGACTAAAAGGGAAGCTGTTTTCCACACTCTGAAAAAGAATTCTTCTTTATAAAAAGCTTTTATTTGCAGACCAAAACATATAGCAAAAAAGAGCGGACATTTCATTCACAGTGACTCTCTTTGGAAGTTAAACACTTGTTTAAAAGGCTATAATACACAAGAAAAGTCTTCATAAAAGTAACTGCTAAAAAGTTTTATTGACGGGCACCTGGATTCACACCTATATATAAGTAGATATGAGTCAAAATTATAACAAAAGGTCAATAATCAGTATTTCTAAAATTTATCATCTCCATCTTTCTCCTCAGAAGATATTCAGACTTACGTATAGTAGTTACCCCTCAATCTCCTTAAATACCTTAAAGTATTTCTTAGTTAAAAAACTAAGATAAAGAGTTGTGAGGAAGAGAGGGAAACAGGCAGTTAATAAAGCCGAGAACAAAGAGAGGGGAGCTAAGAGATGGCGGAGAGCAGACGAGGAGTATCAACACTCTGGGAGAACTGGGGGAAAGGTGTGAATGCATTACAATATATTAGTCCCAGGTACGGTTACTGCAATATTGCATAAACACTTGTTTCAGTCCTCCTGGGATTTAACAATCATTTTATGTGAGTTAATCACAAATTAATTATTCTCCATCTTGTTTCAGGGGCATAAATACAACATGAGCTCTGAAGTACAAAGAGAGCTGATCTATTAATCCTCAGTGCTTTAAAATTAAAGAAACACTCATGACACTATGCAGTATTGCAATAATTTAAACGCACATCTGAACGTCTTAGGCTTTTCATTTTGAAAATTGATCATTAATTTGCTAAAATAATCAATTTAAGGTGCACGGAAAACTCACAGAGGAAAATCAGTGATTTACTGATAATCAGTAAAGAAAGCCCATCATTACTGTACATATGACCAAGAGACCAATATAGGAATCTTTTAAACTGTGTTTTAATTTCACTCCTTTAATGTTGGATAAGAGAAGGGACAGACGAATTTTCAAGAATTCAATTCAATTTAAAAAATGCAGACGTGTGGGGACAGTTTCCCAGCAACTGCTGCTCGTACACAGTGCTCTAATAACACAGATGAAATAAGGGATATTACTCATGTGGAAGGGGCCACCAGGATATTGTCTTGACATAGTTCCATCCATGAACTGGTCATTCATCTGAAACTCATTAGTGCCCAAAAAGCACTTACAGCACAATGTAAATTCATTTCTATACTAACTGAACTTTAATACAGAAATCAAAGCATCTTCATCTTCAATAGCTTCTAGCCTGCGTACTCTTTCCATTACTTGGTTGCACAAGAAAACCACAATGAAATACCAAAGCTTAAACGCATGACGTGTGTCTGTTTTCTATCCTGCTGTCCAGACAGCTAAGGCTCTTGACAGTGAGCTCACGGCAGTCCGGACAGCTGTGGTCTCACTCCTGGAGGTCTCAGTGGAACAGCTGCTTCCCCTGAACTTCAAAAGTTGAGGCCTGAGCATGACAAGCGTACCCTTCTCTTTGTGGTACTGAGGACTGCACTGGAGATGCATTCAAGTACGGAAAGAGATGAGCTCAAGATTACTGAACAGTGGATGTGATTGGAAATATTGACAACACTTTTCCTGTGCGTTAAAGAAGGGAAAAAATTGACTGTGCTTGATTTGTTTGACAGCTGCACAATGATGCCTGTAAAGGAGGTACAAAGCGAGTCCAGGAAGAGTTCGTACTGTACTGATTTTATAATTATATTTTATTACGTAAGCTGACAAGAAGGGGGGATACTGCTCTGGACAAGAAAAGAGAGACACTTGAATTTCAATCCTTCCAATTTCAGGAAGACTTAGGATGAATGAATTACATACATTTCTAAGGAGAAGTAGTCAAAATTCGAAACTAGAGGATTATTTATTGTTTGAAAATGGTGAGAAACTATTTCCGTTTAATAATTCCATATTTATGACTTAAAAAGAAACGAACCCTTAGGGCTACTGCAGCTGAAGACAGCAGGCAATGCTACCTTCCTCCTGTACAAACACGTCTCCTCTAAGAATAGTAACAGCATGCATCACCTGATTTACAGCTATAGTATAAAGTCAATTGCACCATATGGTCTGATGCAGCAGTACAGCAACACAGTGATGACATTCTTATTTCTCATTTATTAAAAAGATAAAATTATTCAATTTCAGCTTTCACAATGTGCATGACTCTGAGGCCTACGTATTCTAACATCATGCCAAAACCTTTTTTTTTTAAATTCATATTGGGATTTCTGCAAGTTTTCATGAGACGAAGGGGAAATTCATCAAGCACTACTGAAAATGTTCCAACTCGTTATGCCTGCATGTTTTATAGGGGCTACAAAACGCAAATTCCAGGCTTTAATAGGTAAAACAACATGGCATGCAAAAAGCTGGAAAATGTCCAAGCCACTTGTCCAAACACATTGATGATTTTTATGGCACAGACACACCTTCGAGACACCAAAATGTAGCATACTTATGACCAACATCATAGGTACTGTAAATGTACCTCGTGAATTCCAACAAACCATAAAATCAGAAAGGAAGTTATGAGTGACATCCATCTGTACTCTACCAGCTCCGTCTCACTGAGGGCTGTGGGGAGCCGGAGCCTATCCCAGCAGGCAACAGGCGCAAAACTGGGTACAGCCTGGACAGGACACACTCTCAAACCAGGACCAATTTCCCCCGAGGCTCCATAACCTCCCAGTATGTCTTTGGGCTGTGGGAGGACACCAGAGCAGCCGGAGGAAAACCAGGTGAACACAGCGTGAATTCAGATAGATCCAACTTTTTAATTATTTCGTACTTTTAGAGAACGATTTTGGGGAAGAGTGACTTAATTGCAATTGCTTTCTTGAAATGGGGCTACATTCGAAGTCTCCTTTTAAAATCCTGTCTGCGGCAATTACGCGTGGAAAGGGGCGATGTACTGAATCTCCGTTAATGGGCGTAGACACGCAAGTAACTATTTCACGATGACGATCGGGTGCAAATACACTTTCTGCAGTATTTGTAGCCGAAACGCAGGCACACTTCTGGACTCAGACTGTTACAAAATATCAGGTAACGACATTCACGATAACATTCAACTCAAGACCCCAGAACGAATTACAGGAGTAAAAACAGTCACTAGCCACCGAAATTACTGCATTTGGTGTCGCAACTCCCCATTTACAGCAGCAGAATCACACATGAGCACCTGGAACACTGAGAAGAAAATACGAAAACGCATCTGCAGCTTCGATGCATGAGCGTCATGCATAATCCGATAATCAATTTTAGTGACAGTACATGTGAAAAGCCCAACAGCCTTGCCTACCTGCATTCAGTCGGCAACATTTTCAGCTGAAGCTGTAACTCCGCGCAGACAATTTAATAAGCGCCTCGCGTTCCTCGGCCTCTGGTGAATTACTCCTCCCGGAATAACCGCATTAAAATTATTCTTAAAGAGAATCAAAGTGTTTCCTCATCGATTCATAGGATTTTGTTCGGGGATGATGCCTTCGGCGGCCTTAAACTCTTTCCTATCCCCCGAAAACGGCGGCAGCCGTGTCAAAACTTCATCAATCATCAATTACACTACGCGACCGACGAGCATCACGACACCACGGCAATGAGGTGCAAACAGAGCTGCTCTCCTGGAAATGTCCCCAGGGTCGGCTGCACCTTGTTATTTTGGTTCACTATCGCCTGGCGTGGGCTCAATACCGGTCCATAGCGCTATACCATCTCTCATTTCTCTCCTGGGCAGTCCTCTCTCCCTGCTCGGTTGCTATAAACGCTCCAGGTTTCCGGCGGTAAACAGGGCATAGAGGAAATGACTTCATTTTTTTCCGTTTGCCCCCACCTTCTCACGACATTTCCAAAGTTTTTTTTTCTTAAAGGATCGGGAGCTGAAGTGGGCGCCTGTCGCGCACTCACAAAACTTTTTCCATAGGTTTGATCTTGGCATCGTTTCCCCTAAAGACTGTAAAGGTCCTCATATAAGCTGTAAAATAGTACTTGTGTACTTTAGCATAAACCTTTATCTGGACAAGCATGTACAGTATAAGCACACGTTCTACGATGAAGTAACGCACACTTACTAAGTTACTAAACTAATTTGCACCGTGCAATAAAAACAGAGAATACAGCACGTAAATTCGTGTAGTATGTTAAACATGTATGTTAATATAATAATTTATTCTAGTGTAGGGATACTAAGAACCGGCTCTACTTGCTCTCAACCCTAACCGTGTTGAATAAGATACACTGTTTGCTGTTACATTTTATTTTCATTAACGCACTGACCTTCCGAAGAGATGCAACCGACTGATTCTGTGTGACAGGAGAGTAAGAGCATAACAAATACTCGAGAGAGATGAAAGGACAGCAAAATCAAAATAATTTGAAACGTAATTTAAAATATAACTGGGAATGAGCATGTTTGACATGATTTTAAATTACTTAAATTATTAAAATGTGATTGAATACCATTCTAATTAAATAAATGTAATAATACTTTTACAGTCCGTAATTACAAGAAGCGCCATTTCTTTTTCTGGCATGATTCTGAGCTCATTCTAAACAAACTTAAACACTTGTACAGTGTGCTTTGGTGTGAGGATCCACGTGTATTTAAAATATATTAACAGAAAAGCAGTGTTCCATTTCTTTTTCTATTTGTACTTTTTAAAAGACACTTTATTGAGTCACATCAGTGCAAAAGATTAGAACATAAACAGGATTTTCAACGAGGAATTGAGATAATCTCCAATTCACAAAGCCAATCTTCAAAAGCGATCTCACAGACACTTAATGATCGTGTGTGATGAAAGCAAGTTTTTAATCTAGTATTGATTTGCTGGGCTTCATGCCACTAATGGTCTCTGGGTGGGTTTACATATGTTGGGTGGAGAAGCAGAGTGGGACTCGAGTTTTGCTCAGAATGCCAAATCACGTGGATTTTTGGCTGCGGTGCATCGCAAGCACAGAGGATGCAGTCCCCTGTGCGTTTACACTATCTGTGCACACAATGTTACCTCCAGCTTATTGCAGGTTATACTTGCAGTTTCTCCAATGAACCAAACATCAAAATATTCTCTGCCTCTTTTAACCATCTCTGTTTTAAAATCTTCAGCATTTCACATGCTAAAAAGACTGACTTCACACCTCTTGCCAAATTGTGGTATTTCACTCCATTTTAATATCGCTGTTTTTTATTCATATTTCCAGTGCATTTGATATCCGAATTTAAAAATCTTAATTAACTCCATTAGACCTCAATCTTGTATTTGTTTAAGCCATCAGTATAAATACCTGAAAGTACAACTTCTGTCACATATACAGCCCTAAAGTGATATTTTATACTGTTCCTTGGAGTACCATCTACAAGGGGACGATTACAAATTAGTGACAAAAATACTTCTAACAGCTGTGGGTGATGCAGCCAAAGCTGTTTCTGTGTTATTCGCTGTGTAATTGCTTAAATATGGGGCGTGTTCATTACACAGGGAATATGTATGCCAAGATGGCAGGGTTCTTTGTCTCCAAAGAGAGACTGAGCAGGAATACTGGTGTTAGAGGCAGTTGCTATGGTAACTCTCGCTAGTGGGGAAAGCCCGTGTTACAGTGAATATCACTTTTCCCCAGCCAGGGAGTCTGGGAGTTTGTGTCTGTGTCCTTATTCCACTGGAAAAAAGTATAATTGCTTAACAGCACCAAAGTATCAGAAGTAAAAAAAAAAGTAACCATCCTTAAAATTCTACCCCTGAAAATCTGCTATTAACCTGAATTACAAACCAGTTACTTTTATCCGATGCACTATTTTTCACACACCTAGTTACAGTCACAATGTTCTTAGAATCCTAGAACAACTCTAGGATCAAGTGTTAAAAATGAGAAATTCTGATTTAAAACTGGTTTTAGATTCACTTAACTGTGCTAAACTACTAGATGCATCCTACTCATCTGATCTAGAGCAAATCGCAATAAACACAGATGACTCAGATTACTTGCATCTTTATTATTTTCAAACTCAACTGCAAGTATCAATATCAGCACTGTTAATTCCAAAACCTCGGGTTCAGCTTCAGAAGCAGCCGTTTCTCAAAATGGTCACTGTCCAGTCTTGCTCCCCTTGGGCTCAGCAAGACTGCAGTAACACTGGTGAGCCTCTCACAGGCAGCCCGGGCAGGTAGAGAGGTGGGGACCTGATGGACACCTCTTCGACTATGGAAAAGGACCTCAGAAGATCCATGTGGAAGATCCAGCCTTCAATCTCTCTGGCACTTGCTTGGGAGACTTCATAGAAGTGAAAAAATACTCTTTACGGGAGGAGCTGATCTGCAGCACAAGGGGGTTCAGCAAGATCTCCATCTGCTTCCTGAGGTAGCCCGACCTGTATCATGCAATGAACAGTTTATCCATCCTTTCATTTTTAACCGCTTCATCCAATTCAGAGTCACAGGGGAGCTGGAGCCTATCCCAGCAAGCAGCAAGTCCAAGGTGGGATACACTCTGGATGGGACACCAATCCATCGCTTGGCAGACAGACACACACAGAATCTCATGCACTCGTACCAGGGTCCAAGCCAATTAACCTATCAGTATGTTTTTGGGCTGTGGGAGGAAATTCACACAAACATGGGGAGAACGTACAAACTCCACACAGACAGCACCCCAAGTCTCACACTGAACCCAGGGCCCAGCGCTGCAAGGCACAAATGCTGACTACTGCGCGACTGTGCCAACATCCGTTTATTTTCTTACAGAAAATGAACACGCTGCTGATGCCACACAAATGTGACATTAAGAATTATATGAAATGTAAATAACTTAATTAGAAAATTATTGAATGCCATTAGATAATCAGCATTCAAATCTAGCAGATAAATTTCCATAAATGCCCAAAGGAATGTTAACTGTGATCAAATTTTAAACTATCTGCACATAAAGTTGCTTTGCTCATTAAAATTAGGGCCATAATAAACATGTAATAAATTAGGAATCTATGTTCAAATGCATTAATATTTGGATAGCAGTTAAATGTTCAAAAAACAAGTACCAGCTTAAACTGATACAGCCAGGGGATGGGGGTGATGAGAACAAATTCATAGAGGGGGATTATGGTAGCCATTAATGTAGCCAATTCATAGAGGGGGATTATTAGGAGGCATAGGAAATTTGGGCAGGACGCCGGGGTTACACCCCTACTCTTTTCGAGAAACACCTTGGGATTTTTAATGACCACAGAGAGTCAGGACCTCCGTTTTACATCTCATCCGAAAGACGGAGAGCCAGCATCACTGACTGTGCTAATTAAAGAGAGACTCCCTCTCCTTTTCTGATGAATGAATTGTTCTCGGTCCAAGCAAGGTTTTGGTTTTAAACTTTGGCAGGAAGATATCACCGGAGATTAACTCCGGATTCTTAATGCCCCATTGAAGAGCCTTTACCAGTGGGCTCCAGAGTTAAAAGGGAAGTTTGATCATCTGAGGTTTGATTCCAACAGATACAGTATGGACCGCAGCCGCCTGAACTGTGTGTTGGCCTCAGCTTGAAGAATTTTCAGGACTTTTCCAGCTGGGTCCTTGCGAGTAGCATACTCAGCCAGGATGGCCATCTCTGCTGGATGTAATCTCTAAACAAAGGTTATGAACATATGGACAAAAGAAAGAAACTATATTCACAGAAACCTTGATCTTCTAACCTGATCACATTGTTGTAAATATTTTCACTGGATGAACAGAATGATTAACTTTGGATGAACACAGTATAATTTTAGTTATAAACAGTATAAGATTAGCTAAGGTTTCGATATGGACAATCTCAGCTCCTAGAAATGGATAATTGGAAATGGCCAAGTAAAAAGAAAAAAATCAGCATTAATTGTTTCCTAGAGGCTTACTGTATTGTAAGACCACATGTGGTGATTAAGCAACATCAACTTAATAAAGGTTTTGGTACTCAGATTCCGTTGATATTATTGCTGGTACAGCAGTTTTTAAACTACAATCCATGTGCATTGTGATATTAATGCAAAAAAGCCCACGTCTGAATTACTGGAATATCTTAACACTAACCTACTTACACGTATACAGCATACTATAAAAATGGTATTTCTCATTACATAGAAAATACAGTCTTACGCCGCGAGGAGGTTTGAAGAAAATAATAAAGAAAAAGTACAAGACAACCACACGTAGGCCTGTTAAATCTGTTCCTTGCACTTGGGGAATTTATTTCCGTTTTTATTGAGGAAGACTATGGGATTCACATTCTCAGATTCCGGAGAAATGCTGTTAGTTAACTGCGTTTGTCGCGGAAGTCATCACACATTCTGGGAGACTTTATAATCCTGTTTCTTTTATGAATGACGAAGGATTATAGGGGAAGGTATCAATCCTTGTAGAGTTAGCTTCGGGAACTCAGACAACTGAATTGAAACCTAACCAAATGTAGCTTGCTACAGAAATCAAATCAAGTTTAATAGAGAAAAGAATCGTGTGCATACCATCACGTGTCTTTAAACTCACGGCGAGGTGATATACGCCTCACTTCCACAGCCCTAGGGAAGCAGAATGTCCTCTGCTGTTTTTGAGATCAACAGATCTTTCAGGTAAGGTCACGAATGAACTACACACGCTACCCTCCATCTTCAACCCGAGCCACAAGTAATTCTTCCGTGTTCTCTTTAGCGCTAAGGATCTGCTTGTTGATTGGCTGTTGTAAAAATCAATACGGTGTCCGATTGGGCAGCCGAACAGGACGTCACTGCGCATGCGACTGTGCTTTACCCAATCAGAGCCCCGCACTGGGGTCGTTTTAATCCTCCTCCTTTCCGCTGGTGCCACTACATAATAAACTAATTTCTAATACAGTGCAATACATTTGTAAGTACTGTTATAAGCTAGAGCCACCTGAGAAACAGACTTAATTGATGGTAGGCTAAAAAATAATGTGTTCGAGCCTTCATCATTATCAGCTGTTTTTACAATTTACAAATCAGGACATCGTTTATTAATCGATACGTGCTCTGTGCACTGTCTTGGTTCGGTACATCACTCTCTCCGGGGAATGGAGAAGGGAAAAAGACGAATTTCTAGTCTATGTCCAGTCACGGTACCCCGTAGAAATCTGTACCCTCCTCCAAAATGCACACGGTATAGCTGGAAATTCGGTGTTTATGTCTACATTGAAAAGTGAGATTTTTTCTCCCGTAAGGCTAAAGGCGCAACAATGTAAGACACTGTTAGTACGTCTAAGACACAATAAAAATTATTAAAGAATGGGTTGTTACAGTACGAAAAAAACATGCTAACTTCAGGCTGTTAAAACAAGCTTCGTATTTATCACTCACTATCTTGAGTATCTGTGCAAAAATAAGACACCTCGTGTCTTGTGAAATAAAATCCCTTCTTTTGTGATGTTACTTCAAATACCCTCATTGCCAGCGTCGCCAGTCACGGGGCAGTAGAAATCTAAAACACCATATCAACAGATAACACCATTTTATCACAGAGTTTTCACAGTAACAAATCCAACTTGAAGTTTAAGGCAGACATAAAGACGGTTTACGACGTCTAGACACTGAAATGCGCGCCTTCTTCAAGCCAGAACGGTAACAACCTCACATCTGTTTCTATTTCAGAGTTTCTTGATACCAGTTTGATCACTTCAATTGAAAAAGCAGTCACAAAAAGCAACGTCTTTAACCCCACCAAAAAAAGCAACTCCAACTCCAAAACACACTTGTCAAAGTTCAGTCACGTGTTTCTTTAGCGCGACACAGTCACACTTCCGGAGGCGGGTTCTTGGGCACGACCGCTGTGATTGGCTTGTTCAGATGATGGCGTCACTTACGCGCGCTTTGGGGGAGCTGCTAGTTGGCGGTAGTTGGAAGAGCAAGAGAGAGGAGAAACGATTTGGATAATTGCGGTTGTGAGTAGCAATATTTTATCACAATTGCGTAGTGACAAAACCACCTTGATATTATCCATTCTGCTTGTGTGTGGAGTCGGTTTGCATGGGGGTTCTCTTTATTGTCTTGCAAACTCCTGTTGCTTTTTCTTTTCGGAACCATGCCTTGTCGCGATTTATGAAGTCTTTCTATTGTAGCCACGCAACTAATTTTCAAGAATAACGAGTCCCGTGATTGCAGGGCAGGGATAACCCTTAGCTCTTTCACTACACTGCAGTGACATACACCGATTTTCAGGAGGATCGACTTACGTGTACAGGGCTACCCTGAAGCTACTGCTTCACGTTAGTTTTATTTCAGAAGCCTGACGGTGAAAACGAAGCTAGTATGTTGTTTACTTATCCCCTGCAGTGGGTATAAAAGGCAGCATTGTTAGTAGTGTGTTAAACGCGATCCTCTCTCTGGGTATACGGTATATGTATATGGTAAATGTGTATGCGCATTTTTTCTTCTTCAGAAATCAACATGGAGTTCAGTCGTAAAAAACACAAGAAGGTGACAGGAGACTACCAGGCAGAGCTCTACGGACACTGTCTTCAGTTCTACAGTCAACCGCCGCTTGAAAACATCCCCCTCTCCGAGTTTGAGACCTTTGCCATTGAAAGGCTGAAACGTAAAAACACAACGTTGTCCATTTGTTTTAAGTCATAAAGTCAAAAGATGACGGCGTTGTAGCAATGACCAATGCGTGTCTTTCTGTGCTGAATGCGGAGGACAAGTGTCCCGAACAACCCCAGATATAGTGCGGTGAAGAAGGTTGCTGCCTCCGAGCTGATATAGTAACTGAAATAAGTGCTGACGAAAAAATACATTTTTGGTTACATTAAATGAAAATTATTTCATATTTACAACTGAGCTTGCTTTATAGAAAACGCTGTATTGGTTTTAACTGTACCGACTCCTTTTGAAGTAGTTTTTGAGGGTGTCTGGAAAAGATGGGCAAAGATCTGGCAAAGGGCTTTCCTGTCCCAGGCTGAACCTGCGAGCTCTAGGGAGTGTTTCCCTGTCACACTGTGAGCCGTTGCTGTGGTTCACGGTTACATTACCAAGTGGTGCTTTTATAGACTGTAGATGTGAAGGACTCTGTGCTTTTTGTTACTTAAACTGCAAAAATTAGCTTTTTAAATTTCTCACCTCCCTCAAATTCTTTTTCCAGTTCTTAAGACTGTGGAAAACCTTGGAGTGAGCTATGTGAAAACATCTGATCTGTATATTAAGAAGCTGGACAGTGAGATTAAAACTCTGAACTTTCCATACAGGTCTGAAATGGTAGGTGCATTCTGATTGTTGTAGATGTTGTTTTGACTTGGTTAAATACTGTATACACCTCGAATACTGGCAGTGGAGGTTACTCGGGGAAAAATCAGTTGAAAGAAGTGTAAAATATGAAGTGCACAATGAGGCATTGTAAATGTACACTATGAACAGGAAGCTCCTATATGAAATGTAAAACCAGCATAAAATTTGTGTTTCTCAACCTTTTTCATCCCACAATACACCTCAGTTTGGCACAGTGCCCCTCTCCCAGCACATGCACATGCACACACACCAGGGTCAATTTCCCCAAAAGCCAGTTAATCTACCAGTATGTCTTTGGACTGTGTGAGAAACGTGAGAACTCAGAGGAAACAGGAAACCCCATGTGTACACAAGGAGAACATACAAACTCCACACAGACAGCACCTCACATCTGGAATTGAACCCAGGGCTCCGGCACTACTGGACAGCAATGCTGACCACTGTGTCCCCTTAATATTTAAATAATTTTGAATACTTTGGTTTTTCTCCTGTGGGACTTTTCGGCAGTCCTGTGGACCACTGGTGCAGGGGAGTGAGACTGTGCTCAGAGGACCTTTTTTTAATGCAGCGGTGCGCTGTGTCCCAGTCAAATTATTCAGCAGCATGGGAGAAGCACTCCTCAAGGTTTCATCTTCTTCAAGCCAAGTTAAAAGATGAGCATGCAGTGTTAGTGTTCGACTGGAAGTGCAGTATTTTGTGGTTACCCCCTGGGACAGTAAGACACTGCGGTCTTCTTGGTTTCTGATAGTGTGGGTTCAGTCAGCTGCACCTGGGTGCCACAGGGAAGAAGACAGAGGGGTTCATTAGGAAGTGCATAATTAGCTGTCTGAAGTCTTTAATTTGCATGTTAAATTAACAGATGTTTTATGTTGGCCAGAATAGTCTTTTCCTGCAACTTAAATTAATGATCAGGCTAATTTATTTTAAGGAGTTTTACGAAGCATTTAATTATTCATAGCTTTTGAATTGGAAAAAATGAGCTAAGTTTATTTAAAACTGTCTCATTGTAAGCTGTGCTGTGTGCCTGGAATTGTTACGCATTTAATAACTTATCTGGACTTGCATAGGGGTTGCATGGTTATGGAATTCAGTGCACATATATTAAAATATTGAGATAATCTTCAAATTTATTTCAGAAATACAGTAGTTAAAACATCTTTGGGAAACTGGAATTTGGAGACCCCTTGTGCTTCAAAATGGAACTGCATGGTGCTGTCTCTTCACTCTGGGTGCTCTGTTTTGTGCTTGATGTCCATGTGCCAAATGCCTTTCCATATTATGCACTTCGGTGGTTTAAATAAAAAAATTAAGGAAAGCTTTTGTGCAGCATAAAACAAGCACAAAATAAACATTTATGTATGTTTTAATGCCACAGTTCATGGGGAGAGTCAAAGAGTAATTTGAAGCAAACACTTACTGTACTTATTTCTGGTTTAACTAGGTGCAGTGGTGACCTATATATCTTTTTGAAACGTTTGTCGAATCCTTGAGAAAGATTTGCTATTTTTAAGCCCACATTAATATTCCAATGCTTTCTGACTTATCCAGGAAGAGAAGAAGCCACAAACTGGGCCTTCAGAGTATGAAAAGAGAAGAAAGGACCACATTTCTCACTTCATTCTTCGCCTTGCATACTGCCAGACGTAAGTGTCTCTGCTCAGTGTGCATGAAAACACCTGCCCTCCTGTTGAAAGGAAAACTGCTCATACAACTTGTATAGGGTTTTTTTTAAAGTAAAAAAGGAATGTCACTAATCACAAGCCTTTAAAGCTTTTGTTAATAGCTTTTATGAACCTTACTGAAGGTGCTTCCTTACACATAGGTTTGTGGGAGTATGGTGCAAGCTTCCCAGACCTATGTTGAAGGTGATTGCTTAGCTTCTTTAAAGAACAGGTATCGAAGATCCAGAGCTCCATTGGCTGCTTGCAACCAAATGAGCTGGATAGCCCTAATGGCCTCATTTCTGTTTGTAACTGCTCTTCCAGTAAGATAAGATAAGATTACTTTATTGGCCATATACCATTTCTTGCATTAAGAATTTGTCTTTTCACAGAGCCCAACTTGCTCTCCATGGGATACACAGACAGGGAGAGAAGCTTGGGGTCAGAACGCAGGGTTGACCGTTTAAATGGCGCCCCTGGAGCTGCTGGGGTAAAGGGCCTTGCTCAGGGCATATGCGTGCATTGTGGTATATACTGTAGGCAATAAGAAAAAGTTGTTTTAAACACTTTTGGTTCAACACAATTTGAAACCAGCAACCAGAAACCACAATGAATTTACACTTCATGTAATCAGTCATATATGGATGAATTAATATTCTGAAGGATGAGGATGTCTAATAACGAGCGCAAGTGGCCATGTGCTGACCTGCTCCTTGGCATCTCTTGGGCTCAAGTCTGCAGTTCCGTCCTGCCAGTTTCCTCCTGGGTTCACATGGTGTCTCAGTGCCCTTGGTGAGCCTGCACAGCAGCGAATTGTCTGTGTACCCACGCACGAGCAGAGGTGTTCAGGGACCGGTCGTGTCCTAGTAGGATATGTCCTGATAAAAATGATTCCTCCGTTTCCAGGGAAGACCTGAGGCGCTGGTTTATACAGCAGGAGATGGACTTGTTTCGACATCGGTTTAACGTCCTTCACCCAAAATACAAAAATGATTTTCTGCGGCACAACAATTTAAAGTATGAAAAGGTAAGTTATTGGTTTCTTTCTTCTTCTGATGGGAGCCTCATCCGCTTAGACTTCAGGGGCTGCTTTGTCTTGGAGAGTCTCGTGAGCTGCCCTCTCGGGTGGGTGGGTGGGTCACCTGGTCTAGCATCTCTTCTAACAGGGTGTGGTTGGAAGGATTGACCTTTTAAAGCCCGTTAAAACCATAGAGCACATCTGGGCGAAGAGAACAGTTACTAGTGATCATGCAGGCCCTATAGAGGTATTGCAGCTTCAGCTTCTCTGCTGGCCAGCTTGTGCTTCTGAGTGAGCGGGCTGTAGACCTGTGGTCTCATAATTGAGAACCGGAAGCATGTCTTTAATGTTCTTGTTCATGTTCTTAATGCATTTTAAATCATTCGGATGACAAAATGTCAGCATATTGTTTGCTTATTGAGTTTTGTGAAGCCATTGATTATTTCTGCCATGTGCTTTGTGGTGATTATTAATCCTGGAAGTATCGAGCAAAAAGGAAGCAAGATCTGGTCTTAAAGCCAAATACAGCCATGAGATATTCTCCATCTTCATCTCTTAAGGTTTTCAAGGCTTTCTATGCCAAAAATAGACTGTTCTCGAAGGGTTATATGAACATCAGAAGGGGGAGCTCTAAGCCTGCTGAAAGTGCATTGTCAGTGTGTTACTTTAGATGTAGGGAGGCTTCAAAATAATTTGTCTCTTCTGGCATTTTATAATTCTAGAAACAGGAAATCTGGATATCTCTACTGTTCTCTATATTTACATTAGGTAAAAGCCTTGTCTCTAGATATTAATGTAATTGGACTGTCTTGTGGAGTGTATTTGAATTTTAAGGAGTTTTGGGTATAGATTTGTGCTAGACATTCGATACCACTGATATAAATCCAGACTGTTGTTTAATGCAAGCAAGCAGTCAAACCTATCTATTGTCCAAATCCCCTCTCCTGTTTTGTGGGGTTTTAAGATAGATTCTTATTAATTCACAGTGTGGAAACAGTACGCGAAGGTGTTCTATCAAGCCGAAGCCTTCGCACCGTTCTGTGTGCTTTCACTGAGACCGGGCTCGGGGCGGGCGTAGGAGTAGCGTGCATAGCTGCCGAGTAATCAATAGATTTGATAACTTTCTCCTGAAGGTACTGTACGTCCAGCAAACCTGTCCAGCTGTAGAGCAAGCTGAAGGTAGAGCAGAGGATTGTTTTACCCACACGGAGAGAGCGAAGGAGGTGAATTTCTCTGAGGACGAGTGCTTACTGACCTTGAGTCAGAGCTGCGCAGTTTGCTTGATACTTTTCTGTTCGCCAGCGCAGAGGCACAGATGCTCGCTGCTGTGTGATTGAGATTTTGAGAAGTATTGTTCAGTTCTGGTGTGGCAACAGACAGCCTGGCACTTCTTGTACGTCTTCCGTTACATCGCTGACCTTTAGCTTTCGCTGGAAGTATTGATTAGTACATCCCAGCTCACACATTTCCCAGACGTGTTTCCCAGAAACATCTCGGAATAGGGTTTTCCACTTGTTATCCCGGTTGAGGAAGGCACAGATTGCATATAGATTGTATCTGCTGTGGGCAGATATTAGATAACATTTTCATAAAGAAAATAAATAGAATAGAGAGATAAATGCTGTATCTCTCTGTATCCTCCTCAGTTCACTGAACCTGCTGCTTGAGTGCTTGCAAACATTGTCAAATGTTTGTGCGTCTTTAGAAATGTTTCTCATGTGTCAGTCCTGCAATTGGGACTGTCTTGCGGATTGTATTTAAATTTTAAGGAGTTTGGGGTATAGATTTGTGCTAGACATTCTAAACCTCAAATAACTGATATAAATCCAGACTGTTGTTTAATGTAAGCAAAGTCATACCTATCTGTTGTCCAAATCCCTTTCCCTGTTTTGTGGGGCTAGCAGTGGTGGTAAACGTGGAGCGTCAGTGATGTTACATGTACCTGTTCCAGCTAATACAGCTGCGACTGCAGTATCGTTCCTGACTGGAGCTCCGGAATGTGATGCACATACTGACACACACACTTGTTTGTCTGCAGGAAGAAGAGCTTTGCTGATGGTGAATAGCCTCTGTCGCTGATTAAGACTTAGCTGTGCTGCCCTACTTGCTGATCTGTGTTCCATCTTTTTGTTGTTCAGGTTTTCGAAAGCCCCCCCCGCCCCCATACTTAGTTTGTAAATGTCTTAGGAGTTTAATTGGTTTTCGGCCGTTACTGGCCAAAATGTATGTCACATCGCAGTGTAGATTGGGGCCTTCGATTCTCCCAAGCCTCCTGCCTCCTGTTCTCCACAGTCTGTCAGTTTCAGCTTCCTCTCTTTGTGTCGTGTACGGTACGCCAAAACTATCCATTCATGTGGCGAAATGCAATGCATTTATTGCAGAAACTGTACTGAACAAAGCTGTTTCTCTCTGCTGTTGAAATTGGGACGACCCATCTTCAATAGTGATGCAGAACTGCCGTCACTGAGAGTCACTGTGGCACGTCAGTTGGCACGGCAACAATGCGTTGCTTAGGGAAGTGATGCGTTTATTAGTTGGCCAATAAAACGCGCAAAAGGGTGTGGCTTCTGGGAGCATGAACCAATGAAATGTTGCAGGTTTCATATCTCGGAAATTTGTTATAATTTAAAAACTATAATGAAATGAAAGGGGTTTTAAATGCATTGTTTTGTGATCTGGAGGTTCCTTGCAGTGATCAGTGGGTCAGGTCCTGTAGTTCAAGAGACTTTACTTTCCTGCTAGCCTCACAATGACTGAATGACTTTCCGAAAGCATGTTGGGGGCTGGATTCAAGTATCAGGGACTGATTTTATTATTATGAAAACTGCAACTGAAGAATTTTTCTTGGCTAGCTCAGTAATAGATGTCTTAAATGTATCAGGCTCAGGCTTAGATTATCTATTGAACCGTACTTTTACTGTTCCATAAAATAATTTTAGCTATTCCTAGTAACGGTTACATTTAAGACAATTAATGACAAAATCACAATGACAATAGGGTGCCATTATCAGTTCTCAGTTATTGGGAAGGAGCCCGACCTTAATATTGTCCAGCCTTTGTGTTGCAATTTGTCTTCTGACATTTTAAAAAGGACTGATTAAATTTCAGGAAGGTGGTTTTCTGTGAAGTAATGATCAATTGCTCTGTGTTCTGTGATTAGAAAACCGCAAGAAATGATTCATTTTTTATATTCGGGTGAATTAATTTCTCTGAAAAGGAGAAAACTATGTTTTTAAGTTTTTTTTAAAAAGTCTGTCCTCCAGTATTAAAGTTTAATGGTCTATTTCTGATAATTACAGTCCTCTTGCTCAGTACCTATACTGCAACGCACAGCACGTCTATGCCAAGGTTGTAAGTTTGAGCCTCTCCTGGGATACTGGCCCCAGTTGCTTTGCTAAAAAGCTTTTCTGTATCAGTTGAGTTGCAGTCGTCTGTGTAACTGAAGGCTTTTCAATTGATTTACCTGCTGAAGGAGTTTTTGTGTATCTTATCATTCCACACTCAATGTGTAGCTGCAGGCCTTAAGGCCTTGTGCTGTTCAGATTCCTCAGTTGATGAATCCTCTGTGTCTGTGATGCTTTTGTCTGGAAGTCTTATTCATCATTCCACTGCAAAGTCCTCCCAAGCCTCTGTAATGGGGAGAGCACTCCTTTTCATTGCTTTGTGCATTCATTGTAAATATGAACAATTATGAGTTTAATTTTGTGTTGCTTCATCACCAGAGTCTTGAATTAATCTAAACAGTAATTTTGGTGATTTGAGTGCCTACTAAGGATACATATATTAGAGTCCTAGGTAGCTTTATTTTTTTGCAATCCAACACTTTGGCTATTTTTTTCTATTCCTGACTACTCTTTTATCTAAAGCAATCTCTTATAGATAGTAGTATGCTGTTTGAGTATTCATAAAATTCCATTGATGTATGTGTGGTAAAGTTAAATTGCTTTTAATTCTTGATGCGATTGAAATTGCACCTAAAATGCTGTACCTTATGCTATATATATATAGAATCTGGGTGTTTCAAACTTTTTGTTAAGTTTTCTTACACACTAAAGATGAGTGTAGTTTGTTTGGGCCGTGGCGTAAATGGGCGTTTTGCCGGAGTGCTGCTCCGCCAGAGTGAGGGCCTCTTTCTCGGACACCGATTTGCTGTGAAATCCAAATGGTGAAAACTCTTGGCAGGTATCACCGCTTCACAGGAGGCTCATTTATGTGGAAATATTCTTATAACAGAATCATTTAAAATTGAAAAATAATATGACTGAAGAGGGCTGACCATCTGAAAGATGCACTTCTGAATTTAAGTTTTTCATGTCATTGAGGCATTGAACCAGGGCTTTTAGAAAATTATTCTTTTGGTGTTATAAAATCAGCATAAGGCTGAAGGATTAAACCTCAACAGGTTTTATATACTGTTGCAGAATGAAAAGGACAACAAAGCTTAACATCTGTCGCTTGTTGGGCGCGTAGTTATTTAAATTTTGAGCACATTTAAGTGTTGTTCTCGATGAAATGTTGAGCTCAGGTCATGTGATTTCATCACATGCCAGGTGCTTGGTGTTTGAGCTGAGCTGGAATGGCCGAAATGAGTTGATGGGGTCTGTAGATGCAGCCAATTGAGAAAGACATGACTTTGATGAATGCAAGGAGAGTGAAAAGTAAGAGTGTGCTCTCCTGGAGTAATGCAGGTCGCCTGCTGGCTTCCCCGTGAGTGAAGGTGGCCTGTGTGTGAGAGAAGCTGCCTGTAGACTGAGATGTTCTGCCCAGCAGTCAGCAGACTAGTCCAGAACAAAGGGCCGGCTCTGTGAGGGACCGTCGACAGGAGACGATGTCTCTGGCAGGGGGTGACCTTTGCCCAGAAGGTCAGTGCAGGTGACGGGCAGCTGTAGCCGTCTTTGTTACACCCTGTTGGTTAAAGGTCCTGAGCTTTACCAGCTGTTCCATTTTACAGCCCAGTCCGGAAGTTAAAGGATTGTGGTGGTATAAGCGCGAGGAAACAGTGCTGAGGAATGTGGCCCGCCCTTCCTTCTTTATCCTCGACCTCCCCAACGTCCACGGACTGCCTCACGGCGCGTCACGCATGCGGGCTGACCGGGCCTGTGCGTCAGTGCTGCCGAGATACCCCACACTAACTTCTTATCCCTTCTATATTGAAAGGCTGTCACAGTTTCAACTTAAAACTCAAAGTGATTCCTGGTCTATATAGAACATATTTGGTTCTTTAGTCTTGCATTTTTTTTCCTGCCTCACGTTATTTATTGTTATTTAGATTCCATTTCTTTTGCTGCTAAATTCACAGGAGAATCCAGGCCCTGAGCCTGAAATTCACGCGACGTGAAATCGCTCCAGATTCCATAAGACTTAGTGGCTCTGTATTGAAGACACTATGCAGCAGTGACCTTAATGTCTACAATGAGAAACAGTTGCGTTCTGTATTTTATAGTGTTAACTGGTATTTCTTTACTGGAGCATGACAGTGGTCAGTCATTTCTAAACCGTGTTTGAAGTGCGGTAGTGAATTTTCTTGTAGCCCGAGGGATTATCGATTTCCTAAATGTTTATTATAGTTGACATGTTTAAGGAATGTTTAATATAAATTTAAAAGCAATCTGTTCTCTTGTGGTGTTGGTTATTGTTTAACTCCTCTGCGCTTTCTAATTATATGATGAAAATTTACTTAGTTTCAGTACCTGTGTCTAGTGCTGAACCTTTGAGGGTCAAAATGTGCAGTTTAATAAATGAACTTTCTTCCTTCAGAAGGAAACCTTCTTGAGCGCTCTGGGATTAAATAACAGACATTCAGTCCAATTTTTAACTTTAATCCAAAACCAATCGAAGGTTACATTTTGGATTAAAATGAATTTCAGGCTCAAGCATCCGGCATGAAGGCTGTTCATCTTGTGCATTTTCCATGGCTCTCTTTTAAAAGCCACATGTCACTGGAGTCTTTCGCCCTGCGCTCTGCATTAATGCTGTAGGTTCAAGCCATTGTCTTTGAGCGGGTGAGTTTAAGTGGCTCACTACAACATGTTTTAGACAAAGAACTGGAAAATGGGGGTGATTGAAATGAAACAGAAATTTAAAAATATAAAGGTTCTTTCTGCTTAAGCTAATTGTGACACAATGAACATGAAAATTAACAGGATTGGGATTTTAGCTGCTAGCTGTTATTGTAACGTTTTGCTACACTTAGAAACAACCGTTTTACACAATTTAAATTAGATTTTCATATTCTTTCATATTTTATTACTTAAAAAGGACTGTATTTTGTCATTTTCACATTAGGTGGAGTTTGTGGGTTATTTAGTGCGGAATGTAGCCGGCTCTGTGAACTTTCAGAAGTGATGGAAGAGATAAGTGGTAACTGTTACATGTAATTTCGACCATTTCAAATGAGACCATCTTACATTTCCACTTGGGCTCGGTCCTAGTTCACTTCAGAATTAAATGTGAGCCTCTGAGGTTTATTTAATTTCACCTGTCCAGACACCCTGTCACTCTTATTCTTTGCTTGCCCTTATTCGTTTTTTAAAGTATTTTCTAATTACCATCCCCCAGGACTTCTGTGAGTTGTCATATATCACTGGGTTCCAAAGGCAAGTTTAAAAACTCTTCTGCTGAAGGGGGGTAGAATCTGTGGAGATAAGATGGCCTGTGAACTGGCAGAATAAAACTGTAGCCTTGTGGTGGCAGGAATCAGGCAGCACGTGAACTGGTGTGTCAGTCTTAGCAGATGAAGGTGCCTATACAGTATATACAATAAGATGGACATAGTTGTATAGCTGGACACCTACAAAGAAAGATGAGCTGTGAATATACGCCATTTGCTTAAGAAACCTAGATCTAGAATCTCTATATTTATCCTGCTTTCATCTGGGAATTGAAATTAAGTGTCTACATTTCCAACCTATTTTTAAACAGTGTGGAATTTACCGATATAGTGCCTGTGCATCTGCTTGCTTGTTAAATTGGAGAGAGGTAATTGTTTTTCCCCCCTAGAAACAATTTGTCACACTTGTTTTTTTTCTTCTGATTACAAAATAAATTGAGCGAAGGGATTCAGTGTTTCGCGGACCGAGCACTTGAAGATATTTCCACCCAGCAGTGCTCTGTCATACTGACAATGGAAAAAGCAATACAAAACATAATTTGAAGAATATGAAGAGGTCTCCAGATATAGATTTCTGTCTTCTCTTTGCTGAGGTGAAACTCAGATTGCCACTGGAGTGTTGTCCACTGTTAGGGAACCTTCAATTAAAAACAGAAGATGACATTTCAGACATTTTGACTAACTGTTTAATTACAAATGCCTAGTTGCTTCTTCTGGCAGTGAAAGTTAATAGTAGTGATTCTAACTCAGTGAATAAACATCACAATGCAATAAGTAAAACAAAGCACTTGTCACAGGTTATTAAATGTCATTGTACAATTACCTAATGTAGAGGAACAAGTAATAGGTTTATTCCCTGCTGAAAGAGAAGAGAGAAAAAACACAAGGTTTCGGCTGTGGAGCCTTCTTCAGGAGTGGACCTCCTGACACCCGAAGAAGGCTTCACAGCTGAATCGTTGTGTTTTTTCTCTTCTCTTTTCAGCAGGGAATAAACCTATGACTTGTTCCTTTGCAGACTACGCATGCTGACACAGCTACCCACCTCAACTACTATTACCTAATGTCCCATAAATACGTTTTTCTGTATTAGCAGAAAGTTGTCTTTCTCAGACTTTAAGTTGTTCAGTACGGGTGTGTGGTTGGTATTTTTTAGTGAGTGCTTTGCATTTGTTCTTCTTTCCGCAGCTAAGTGATGAAGATAAAAGAAGGTTGGGGTCCAAACTAATCAACTCAAACTCTGCTATTAGTAGCACCAAAATTGAAGAGCTGGAGATCTACAAGGTAAACGTCAGGAGTTTGACCGTGATGTAGATTGCATGTAATTGCATGGTTGTGTTTGCTGAATGTTAGTGGTGAAGCCCGAGTGTTGCAAATTAAGATTTTATATGCTCATATATGTCCCATCAAAACATTTAATTTATGTCCCTGTTTTAAAGATTTAAAGAGAGTGCAATTTTGGAGAACTGTAATTGATTTGTAAAGGAATTACCACTTGATAGGAGGAATGGAGTTATTAAAAATTGATACAACAAAGCCAAAGGGTAGCCCACATCCCCTGCCTTTTAATCCCATCCAGTAAATTTGTTTATTGGGACTAAGTCAGTTTTACCTGATGCAAAGAGTGAAATGCTTTCCCTGTTTCTATGAATGATGCTGTATGAGAGTAGAATTGGCATTGAGCCTCTAAATCTGAGTTTTCAACCTTTCCAAGCACTGTATGTTGGGAGTTGCCCTGTATAAGGGTGTCTGCTAAACAAATAACAGTCCACCCATTTTCTAACCACTCTGTCCAATGCAGGGTTGCAGGGTAGTCGGAGCCTCTCCCAGTACGCAATGAAGTAAGATGCCCTACTGTACAAAAAGAGTTGTGCAGACCTTGCAGCATCCTAATAGAAATAGATAAGTGTATTGTGGGATGTTTTTATTTGACACCACAATAAATCTAATGGCAAGAGCGCTGGCCCCAGCCTCCCTGGTCAGATAAGGACGGAATACACAGATTCTGAGATGGCATGCTTTTAAAAATGCAGTGCTGTAAAGGCTAGCTCACCCTCTGTAATCTCTTTCACAATAGCCTGCAGTGTGAGAGGAATATTTGTTGATTTTCTTTTGGAACAGGTTCCGTTCCAGGATGCGCTTGATTTAGTTCGAGCACGAAAGGTCTTCCTTCAGGAAGGCTTTGCCTTTATCCCCCATCAGGAGATCGTTACGATAGTCCTGAACGACTTCCGGACAAGACTGTCCAAGGCACTTGCTGTAAGTCACTCAACTACTGCATTCACTACAGACTATTTTTAAAATGTTGATCCCCAAAAAATTGGAGCCATGGAAAACATTTTATATGAATTATTCAGATTAACAGAGGTACATATTAGTTCAGCCACCTCTGTATTTGAATTGTTCAGTTACATGAATTGCCTATATATTACCTGTTTATTTTAAAAGAGACCTTGATTTTAAAAAAGGCAACGTCAATGTAGCTTTGCAAAAGATTAATAGGCTCAGGTGACTGTAAAGTACAAACACTTTAGTGTGGTGGTTTTGCAAGATTTTGGTAATTTTGCTTCAAAAGCTGGTGTTTCTTGGCTGAGAAAGCGAGGCAGCTTGCGTGGAGCTCAGGTTGAGCTCTCGGATGTGCGATTTGAGCCGGGTCAAGTTGCGATCAGACTGTAACCGAGGTTCCTCAGCTGTCGGAACAGCGATGGGGCCCAAGCTGTCATCGTTCTGGCCAGCGCTAACTGATCCGACACTCCGGCGATGTGCTGCTCCTCCAGTCGGCGCGGACCCCCGTCAGGCTTTGTCTGACGCCGAGCTCTGCAGGTGGGCCAGTCGGGAACACGCCCACATGTCTCAGTGGCTCTGCAGCTTGTTGCTGTCACTGCTGGAAAGCCTCGTCTTCAAATGGTTACTGATTCCGAGCTGGGTGGACAGATAAAAAATAATAATTGGTTCCAAGTTTTATGCTAAAAGCCTTCATTCCTATTCCTTTCCATTCTCTTGAGTTTTAGGTCTATTTTCTTTCCTGGAAATTATTTACATATTTGCTTCCATGCCACATAATTTCACAGGCCCAAGCAAGTGTGATATTTACATTTTCTGAATTAATTGATGGCAGTGCATAACAATTTTAGAACTTTTTTTTCACACTAAAGATTATTTTTTTGAATGGAGAAACATTTAGATGATTTGTTGCTGTTTAAGTATGTATTAAGAATAGTAAATGTTTAGGAAAGTACAAAAAAGTTTTTGGCATTTATGAGCAACTAATGTAATGTCCTGGCTCTATTAATATAAATCGAAATACCACCACCACTGCTGTGAAGGAGAAGACGATTCCTGGCAAATATTTCCATTGTGACCTTGCAGCTGTGAGCTGCTTGAAAGGTATTGAGGATGAAAATGATTTTTGTGGATTACTAACAAGCCTGAAAGATGTCTTTCTTGTACATGTGTCTTCGTTGCTAAAGGGGTTTATACTAAAGCTGTTTCACAGGTTTTATAGGCTTAGGGATCGGACTGTTATTGTGAATCTGTTTATTTAAGCTCTATAAGTGCCAAGATAATCTCATTAAGGTGCAATAGCTCTTTTTCAGAAGTTCTACAGATAACACGAGGATCTCATTGCTATGCAAATCCAGCATTGGTCTTCTTTTATGTAAAATATAATCACTGTCACAGGGATCAATGTTTAGATTGCCAGGCTGGGATATTTTAGACAATGAAATGTTTTTTTTTTAACAATGCTTCGGAATTAAAGTTATTTTTGGAATTGAGTGAAAAGGGCCTCTCATCTGAAATGGGGCACTGCGGAGAGAGGCAGTGGAGAGGTGCCTGGTTTAGATCCCAGCGTCTTTCATGATGGAGGTGAAAAGTCCTTGGGATTGTTGTTTCACTTGTCTGGGATCAGAATGTCAGGTCTGAAATAGATGTTGTACAGTTTTGTCTTTTCTTTTTGTTGCTGGAGGTTGTGAAGCAATATTGCCAAATGAATTTCCCCCAAGTTTGCAATAATAAAGATTTTCTAAGCTTATGTAATCCTGTGGGGGAAAAAGCATATTATATACTTACAGACTGAAAGGAATTCAACCTCATCATTCTGGCAGAAGAATGTGGGGGCTCTTCATACTAGTCTTAGAAGGAGCTGAGCAGGTTACTCCAACTACATCTGCCCTGCAGTGTTTTTAGGTTTGACAGTAGAATATACTTCTTTACAGAAACAGTAGCGAGTGTCTGGAACAAGTTTACCCCATTTCTTTAGCTGAAGCAAATGCCCTGGAACCTTTAACATAATACTAGCTGAGCTTCTCAAAAAAGTGAGCCAACAGAGACAAAACAGGCAACATGGGTGAAATACCTTTGTGAATTTCCTTTTGTTCTTATGCCTCTCTGGAATAAGCAAGCATTTTCACTGCATACAGGACCATGTAACGGTAGCGATCACATCGGAGTCTTTGGTCCATGACTCTTTATAGTCTTTAGTCTACGTTTTGTGCTGTTAGGGCGGTGGTGATGTACTGTTTTTGAGAATTCTTTGTTGTTGTGGGCAAGGGTTTGGAGACATTAATGGGGAACACTTGAATCTGGAAGCTGAAAGAAATAAATTTGTTTTTGGTTGCAGAATCTTAAAGAGTATACTTTCGGAGACGTCTCACTTAACATTTAGGTTTCTTTTTAATATACTTGGAAATTTTAAGAGTATGGATTTGAGTGCAGAATGTAGTCAGTAGTGTTTGACTGAACATTTTTGGGGGATTTAGTCATCACAGTTTGAAATGCATATAGCTGTTACTGTAACCACACCTGGAATACAGCTTGCTAAAATTTTCATAATGTCTGAGTTCAGCTCCCAGCTAGTGCATGTTGTACTGCCATTTGGATTAGACCGTAACAGATTAGACTTTGATTTCTTTCTACTTATACACTGTTTTTTCATTAAGGTTACATCAGAGATGCCCTGTGCTATAAATCTACAGAATTTGTGTTCAAGACGATAGTTAATGGAAGCAGTGACTCTCCTGCTCACACTGCACTGAGAATTTGTTTTAAATTAAGAACCAGTAGATGGTGAAATTCTCAGGAAATTTGACCCCTTCGGCGACTGCCTTGAAAAGGTAGCTTATTTCCAGTTTGTTATGAATCTTAACGGGGAGAATAAGCTGAAATTTGAGGAGGTGTTCGCAGTGAGGCCTGTAGTGGGGAGCTGCGTCACTCCTGCCTGTGCTCACTCGGCTGTGCCTGTGAAAGAGCCGCTAAGATCCGGAGCCACAGAGGCTCATGGGGCCAGACTCCCCGCTGGACTGGTGGCCAGTCTGGCTCGGGGCCAAACCCAAGCAGCGCCGCTCCAATATATACAGTACTCGCGCAGCTGAGCGGGCTGGAACAACGACAGCACTGTCTGCAGCGGAGACTCAACCCCACAGCCTCTCGGCCACCATGGGTTCAGATGTAAAACCGAGGTCATTAAAAATCCCAGGGCGTTTCCCTAAAAGAGTAGAGGTGTCACCCCGGTGCCCTGGCCAAATTTCCCCCTGGCCTTTCCCAATCATGGCCTCCTAATAATCCCAGTCTCTGAACTGGCTTCATCACTCTGCTCTCCTCCCCACTGAGAGCTGGTGTGTGGTGAGCGTTCTGGCCCACTATGGCTGCCGTCGCATCATCCAGGTTGGGGTTGCATATTGGTGGTGGTGGAGGGGATCCAATTCTCCTGTACAGCGCCTTGAGTGGGGTGTCCAGAAAAGCGCTATAGAAGCGTGAGGAAGTATTTTCTGTGACCCCGGAGTTTATCAGCTGTGCTGTCCCCCACCTCAACAAGGGGAGCAGTGGCTCCAAGCTGTGTGTCCGGAGGACGTTGTGGAGCCCCCTGTGCTCTCTGGGAAGTGACTGGGCTTGCTGGGGCTCCTGTGCTGGTGTGAGGGCATCATTGCAGCAGTGAAGCAGGAATGGCAGCCATGCTCAGGGGATAGTAGTAGTAGTAGAATAATTTGAAGTTAACGCTGTTCTAATACTGTATGTGTTTTAGTACGGAATCAGGTGTACTGTACTTTGCTAATGGTGAGTCTTTGTGTTCTATATCATATTGCTCCTGTGTGCCTTGCAGCTCCAGACTATTGTGAGTTGTGAGCACCCGTTATCTTTATTATACTTTAGAACGATAATAAAAAAATGTGCCAACTAAGAGTCATAAGTTATTTTCTAGATATACAGCATCAAAGTATTAAATGTTCTACGGCATGTACAATACAGATACAGAATTTGCTTGTTCTCTGTGTTCTGCGTAAATACTTAAATATCGAACTTAAAAAGCTCTATTTTAAAACTTTGATTTGGGGTTAGAAGCTTCTGCCTTTTTGTCCTTTCAGTGTTACTTTCCAATGACATGTCTGAAACAACACATTTATATCCATTCTGCCACGTAATGCTGAAAAACCATCAGCAGATTCCTGTTGCTAGGATACGGCAGAATACTGAAATAGCTTCTTTTTGTACTTGTAAATTCAGTTCTTTGACAGTTCCACTTTCATAGAGCAAAAATTTATTCAGCGACTACAAAGAAAGATGCATCACCTGTACAGTCTGTACAGTTTCCAATTTAAAAATTTTGCACACTGGGACCTGGGGAAATACAGGAGCCGTTATAGAATGATTAAGTATGGAGCAAGTCATTTTTAACTGAGACTGGTTAGATATTGAACAGCATTTTATTTTAGGTTACACTGGCTTTTTGAAGTCTCCTGTGGTGCATTGAATTAAGACTAGCCAGTATTAAAGGATTGTGCTGGAATATTAAGCAGCAGACAAAAGTTACAATTGAGACCTGTGGTTTGAAAAAAAAAATCAATATTCTGAGTAGTTCTAACTCCATAAGTTATTTTTAAAATGTAATTTAAAAAAAAAATTGATGTTATGAAGTTTTCTTGTATTCCTGTGCAACAGCCTACCTTCCTATTCCTGTGCAACAGCCTACCTTCCTCCCTTATAGTTTTGAACTGTTTGGAGGGTAGGTAATTTGTTCCCAGCAGAAATTCCCACTCACTTTGTTTTTTTTTATTGTTTAGGAAGAGTGTCAAACTTTTTCTGAGGATCAGTGTTGTGTCCATAGCAACGCAGCTGCCATTTGTTTGAGGGACATTTATAGTTGCACTAAGTGCTGAGCAAATGGGATGGTACCGTAGGGCAGGCGCCAGGGATTCGGAATACTGTAGTTCCCATCCTGCCGATTAGCTCCTTTTAGTGTTGGGACCAGTGAAATAGCTCCG